AACTTCCTACCTCCCAAGTTTGGCTGGTTTGTCAGAGACAGCAAGGTGAATCTTAGCCTGAGATACAACAGTGCCCTCTGAAACAGTTTGCTTTACTATATGGAATATCTGAGTCCTGAATGTGAAGTTTAGCTAGCCTAGATGGATGCAACCTGCTGTATTTAGGGGTACATTTTTGCAACAGTGACAAAAAAAAAAGATTTGGAAAAGGAAAAGAATGTTTCAACACTGCCAGAATACAATAAATTTGTATTCCACCCTACTCTGCTTCATAATTGATTTCTAGTGAAGCTGCTAATGCTTTTCTTTTTTAATAGCTGTTTCATCTTCCAAAAGGCTGTTGCATTCATTTCCTTCTCTCGTTTGCAACATGTTAGAGCAATACACTGAATCATCGTGCATAGAAATATACCGAAAGCATTTGGAAATTAGGTGGTTCATTGTGATGTTGCTGGATTTCTTTAATGTGGCATCAAGGTGGTTTAGGTGGTAGTTTCTTGCATAGTCCTGTAGCTTTCTGTGGTTTTTTTTGCTTTGTAGAGTTATGAAGATTAGATTTCTATAAACTGAAATGAAAGTAAGGCCCCATATGTAGACCAGATTTTGCTCTTTTGTTTGCCTCATCCCATGTTAGATGTTGCTTGAACAGCCTTCTAAATTGCTATGATAACCAGAACTCTCTGTGATAAAAGAAAAGTGGCAACTGCAATTTGTCTATTAATTGGAGTTGTTGAAATGTTGTTCCTTTGACTTTTTTCTAGTGTTTCTTAAATTCGAATGAGCTTTCTCAGCTGAGGATTGGGCCAGATGGATCCTTACTTAGCGACCAGCTCGCTTTGTCTATTGGTAAGTGTTCTGGTGCCAAACGTGGCCAGGAAACGAGAAGGTACTCGCTGTTTTACTTTGTCTTTTCTTGTCTGCCAATGCTCTGCCTGTCCCCACTTCTGAAGGGAGGTGGGAGTTCTGCAACTACATATGCAGTGGTTTTTGAAGGGAGTTCACAGGGATACACCCATCCTATCTCTTCCATGTTTGTCTGATTGTTGTCATTATTACTATCCCATGTTTTCTCTAAAAAAGAGACTCAGATCTGCTTACAATGAAACTTAATGGATACAATTGAAACCTAAAAATATAATAATAATAATAATAATAATAATAATAATAATAATAATAATAAACTTTATTTATATTCCTCCCTATCTCCCTGGGGGGATTCAGGGTGTACTCCAATAAATAAAAAGGTAAGCATTCAATGCCTCAGTACAATAACAAATACAAATGTAATAATCCAAAATAATCTGACATATGAAAAATGACATCTGTAGATTAAATAAAATGTTATCTATCTAAAAATTATATGGTGACCTAAAACCTGAACATAAAACATCCACATTAATTTACAGGAGCCAACTAAAGTTCACAAAGATATGTGTGTTGATTGTGTGGCCAGTGATGTTAACTGGGCTAATATGGACTGACAAAGCCTGAATATAGTAGTAGTTTTCAATCAGAGGTCTGGTAGTGGTCTCAAATTATCTAATGCTCCTCCTCCGCCATATGGTAGTGAGCAAAAATAAGTTTTCCGTTGTTTTTTGAAGGAGAGGAGGGAGGGGCCATCTTTATTTCTTTAGGGAGGGAGTTCCAGAGTAGGAGGTGATCATGGAGAAGGCCCTCTCAGTTCCCACCAGCCATACTTGAGATGGGGTTGGGACTGAAAGCAGGGCCTCCTCTGCTGACAGCAGTGCCCGAGCTGATTTATAAGAGGAGATGTGATTGGTCAAATCGCATCTCCCGAGCTGTCTAGGGCTTTAAAGGTAATGACCAGCACTTTGTATTTAGCGAGGAAGCAAACCCGCAGCTAGTGGAGCTACTGCAACATGGGAGTGAATCTCTCCCTGTACAGGGCTCCAGTTAGTAATCTGGCTGCTGATCTCTGAACCAGTAAAAGCTTCCGAACTATCTTCAAAGGCAGCCCCATGTAGAGAGCATTGTAGTAGTCTAAGTGGAATGTGACTAAGACGTGGACTACCATGGCCAGATCTGGCATTTCAAGGTATGGATGCAGCTGGCAGACAAATTTTAATTGTGTGAAGGCTCATTGCTGACATCTGGGGCTCCAGGGACAGCGATGAATCCAGGATCACCCTCAGACTGCAAGCCTGTGGCATGAGGGGAAGTGTGAACTCATCCAACACAGGCTGTAATCCCTCACCCTGATCTGCCTTCCGACTGACCAGGAGTATTGTCTCGATTTAATTTCAGCTTATTAGCTCTCATCGAACCCATCACTAATGACAGGTTTAGGGGCAGGACAGCATCCTTGGCATTCGGTGGAAAGGAGTGATAGAGTTGGGTGTCATCTACATAACTTTGACACGAAACTTCAAAATTCTGGATGATCTTTCCCAGAGGTTTCATGTAAATGTTAAACAGCATGGGATACAGAATTGAGCCCTGAGGAACCCCACAGGCCACCGGCCAGGGAGTTGAACAGGAGCTCCACCTTCTGGGTCTGACCCTCCAGGAAGGACCGGAGCGACTGTAAAACAGTGCCCTCAAGCCCCATCCCGGAGAGCCGTTCCAGAAGGATACCGTTTTAATATCTGAACATTAAAATAGAAACGGAGGCTGGATGGCCATCTGTCAGGGATGTTTTGATTGGGCTTTTCCTGCATGGCAAAGGGTTAGATTAGATGGCTCATGTGGCCTCTTCCAACTATTATTCTATTATTCTATGAAATACATACTAAAAACATGAAAAATAAACAGTTAAAAGCCTTAAAACAAATTAAAAACCTACTCATAAGTAAAACGACGGTATCCCTGACTTGAGTTTTTCAAACCACTTCTTTAAAAACCTGTCTAAATAAAAAGGTTTTAACCCCCTGCCAGAAGGATAGCAGGGAGAGGGCCATTCTGGCTTCACTGGGAAGAAAAGAGTCCCGGAGTTGAGGGGCAGCCAACAAGAAGTCCCTCTCTTGTGTCCCCATCAACCGAGCTTGCGATGGAGGTGGGACTGAAAGAAGGGCTTCTCCTGAGGACCTAGAAAGCCATATAGGACTTTCTAGGTCAAAACCAGAAACAGACTGGGAGCTAGTGGAGCTGCTGAAACAGGGGAGTTGTTCGCTCCCTGTAGCCAGTCCCAGTTTGCAATCCGATCACAGCTCTCTGGACCAGCTAAAGTTTCTGAACACTCTTCGAAGGCAACCCCACATAGAGTGCATTACAGTAATCCAAACAGGATGTAACTGAGGCATGTACCACTGTGGGTAGATCCATCCAGCATCTCAAGGAATGGACAGAGTAGGTGCACAAGTTTTAAATGTGCAAAGGCACCCCTGATCTCTGCTGATGCCTGGGCCTCCAGGATGAAAGCTGAGTTCAAGAGTATACCCAAACTGCGGACCTGTGTCTTCAGGGGGAGTGCAACCCCATCCAGGACACCTCGATCCCTACTCCCTGATTTGCCTTCTGACTGAACAGGAGCACCTTCGTCTTATTTGAATTAAGTTTCAATTTGTTTGCCTTCATTCACTCTATTACTGATAGACATACACTGCTTTGGGGCCAGGGACAGCTTCCTTGACTTTGGGTGTCATCTGCATATAGTCATCAGCCCCCTCACTCCTGACTTTCTGAAAAAGAGTAAAAACTTGGCTCTTCGAGCAAGCATTCGGAACCCCAGAATAAATAGACAAACTAGAGTTGGAAAATGACCCAGGAACGGCCAAGACAATGTAACGGATGAGGATTTGAATGAGAGGACATAGTTCTTTTTTAAATTGTTATTATGCACTGTCTTTTATGTTTAATTGCACATAATGTTTTTGCTTTATCAATGTATGTATTTTTACGGCATTGAATTGTGCTGACTGTGTATACCGCCGAGTCGCCTTTGGGCTGATATGGGTGGGATAGAAATAATGTAAATAAATAAATAAATAAATAGTTGGCACCGCACTCCAAGACTCCAGATGACCTCTTTCATGTATCTGGTTGCCATGGGGCCACAGTAGTGTACATCTTTACCCTTCCCATAGTTTGTATTTCTGATGGTGAATGCTTTTTTTCTTTCTCTTTTTGTTTTCTGTTAAAGGCAAACTGGGTGAGAACATGATTATTAAGAGGGCAGTGTGGGTGTCGGTGCCAGAGAACAACTTCATCGGCTCTTACGTACACGGAGCTCCCCCAGAAGGAAATCCTCTGCTGCCTCATACAATGTTGGGCAAATATGGTGCCTTGGTGGTCTGTAGCCCCTCTGAGCAATGCCCCAAGTCAGACTTTCCTGAGCTCGGCTGGAGGCTGGGCCAGCATGTGGTGGGCATGGCTCCCCTCTCTGTCGGCTCTCTGGAGGATGAACTCGGGGGAGAGTCTGAAACAAAGATGCTTTCCCAGCCCTTCCTCCTGGACCCCACAATTTCCTTGGGACAGTATATTCAGCCCAGAGGCGTATCTGTGCTGGACTTCGTGAGGTTTGAATGTGGAGAAGATACAGAATCATTGGAGTCAGAATAGGCCATTTTTTCCACTGAAAAAGTGAACTGTTCCCTCTTCCACTTGAGTCCTGGTGTGGTTAACAGATGTGGCTGGTAACAAATGAATTGTTATATTGGTTGTCTAGAGGAGTCAACCAGCAAATATAAAATCTCTTTTCCAAGCTCTGCAGTGGTTTTGTAATATATGGATGCCAAAATGTGGTTGACAGATGTTGATTGGGAGCTGTGAGCTCCTGCTGTGATCGCAGCCAGAATTAGTGCTGCTGCAATTGATTCAAGCTAATTTCATTTATTGTTCAGTCTTTTGAAAACAATTCCCAAGGATGTCGACTTACTGAAAATGAACAAAACAAAATTCCTGAAGAGCTTACAGATGCCAACTGCATAATTTCAGAGTATTTAACCAGAGTTGTAGGACATACATCTTGTTTTCAGCAATTTGTGACAGTTCTGATTGATTTATGTAAGTGTCTTCAAGCAGCTATAGCAAATTTTTGCTTGCATTTATGGACCACAATGGATGACTAGGGAATGTTGTAAAATGGAAAGAGGGAAATGTGACCCTTAATTGCTAAGGCAAGGTGGAGGAAGTTCTCAGTGGGCTAATATTTTAATACGCAAAACTGGAAACTTGGATTTGTTGTTTTTTGTATACATACTAATACTTCTCAGACCTCTTTAATGCAAAAAAAAAAAATCAAACACAGAGATTGAGCTCAATTTCTTTGGCATGAGCAGGAGCACTCCGGGAGTGGTATTTTGCTGAAAGTAGTCCTGCTGGCAGAAAAATGGAAGAGGAGACTACCTTTACAAGCAGTGGTTCTCACCCTTCCTAATGACGTCACCCTTTAAAAAAGTTTGTGTTGTGGTGACTCCCAACCATAATATTCTTTTTATTGCTACTTCATAACTGTAATTTTGCTACTGTTATGAATCGTAATGTAAATGTCTGATAAGCAGGATGTATTTGCATTCACTGGACCAAATTTGGCACAAATACCTGATACGTCCAAATTTGAATACAGGTAGGGTAGGGAGGATTGATTTTGTCATTTGAGAGTTGTAGTTGCTGAGATTTGTAGTTCACCTACAATCAAAGAGCATTCGTAACTCCACCAGTGATGGAATTGAACCAAACTTGCCACAGAGACCCAACGTGGCCAATTTTGATTACTGACAGGGTTTGGTGAGGATTGACCCACGATTTTGGGAGTTGTAGTTCACCCACATGCATCGTAAATGTTAATAGCTGAATGAGATAGGGGAGATTCCAGTGAGAATGATATGAAAACAATTCACAAGCAGTTTTTCGCAAGAACATTATGTGCCTGTTACGTGCTGTGTGTGGCGCCAATGTATTGAACTAGGGTTTTGTAAAACATGTTGAAAACCAGCGGACTGCTGAAGCATGGCTGCAAAGTACAGTAGACTCTTAGTTAACCAGAACTAAAGCAATAGGAACTCTTGAGCATCTTGCAAAAGAATTGAAGAAATAACACTTTAAAGTCACAAAGCTGTTTTTAATACAGAGGAACTGTGTTACATTAAATTAAGTTGGTCTTTATTATCTTAATTGCTTTTAATTTCTCTATTTCAGTATTAATATCAAGTAATTACAGAGTGAATGGTAATGTATAATATGGAGTATAGTATTAGTTAGACCTGTTTGTAATAGTAACTCTCAAGTAACCAGAACCTACATTTATCTGGCATCCACCAATCTCCCAGTTAACTGAAAGTCTACTGTATATGCCAAGGTACCTACATCTTTCAATTGGATTTTCTAGCCTGTGTGCTTTGCACTTGGCTCAAGACATTTTGTTGCCTGCAGTGAAGAACATGATGGCATCTTCCATCCCTACCACAGTCTACATGTGCATATAAGGCAGAATTAGCCTTTAGTCTTACTTTGATACAGGTGAGAAGACAACATCTACTGCAGTCATGGGCAGAAGTGCAAACTACCCGGTGCACACATCTGTTCTCCAACACCTTGCCTCTGTTTTGCGACTCCTTCTTCAGTTTCTGCCATTTGAAGGAACTTCCTTATAATTGAGATGAGCTTGGGTTGTTTTCACCACTGAAGTTCCCTTCTGTGGCTTATGGAAACTTGAGCAAATGCTGCATCTTTTAAAAAAATATAAGATACTGTTCCCTTTGTTCTTATATCTAGTGTAAACATAGGAAAAGTTTGGTCTGCTAGATGATTTTGAATGACCACACCCAGCATTCATCACCATTTTATGCTGGCTGGGGTCATCATGGGAATCGTCATACAACATCAGCTGGAAGATTGGATCTTGTCTGCCATTAACTGTTGCTAAGGGCCCTTCCACACAGCCATATAACCCAGAATATCAAGGCAGAAAATCCCACAATATCTAATTTGAACTGGGTTATCTGAATCTACACTGCCATATATTTCAGTTCAAAGCAGAAAATTGGGATTTTATTCAGTTGTGTGGAAGGAGTCTTAGATTTCCTCTTCTGTCTTGCATACCACTGTCTCAGCCATTCCTCTGTTGCAAAGGGCAGGTGTGATAGGCCTGTTGGGATGCTACTGCATGTAGCACAGATCCATCCGTTGCATTACAAAAAATGTGGAAAGTTGGTAGGTATTACGGAAATTTAAAAAACAATAACATTCATTCCAAAAGTAAACCAGATTCAACACTTTGCATCTTTTTATACATTTATCAGTGTGTTAATATATATTCTTTTCATAGCTGTGCTTTTGCTCAGCAAGTCAGAGGAGATGGTAGGCAGCATGTGATTTCCTTGGCACTGGGCTGGTCCCTTCTTGTATGTAGGTAACTCGTGGGAGGATGGACTTTGAAGGCAGCACAAACTGCTTGAAACTTATGAACAATCACTATGAAAAGTGCCTCTTTAACTCTCAGGGAGAGAATTTGTAGTTGTCCCCCATGGTCTTGGCAAAATATGCTGAAACAATTAGCTGTTTTAGAGATTGAATGTTGAGACTCAAGATTGTAGGCAACTTTAGTGGGCCCAAGGGGGAAAAAACCCTCCACTTCCAGCTCCCAGAATTTACAAAAAAGATATGTTGTTAAATATCTCTCCACCCCAAAAAAGCCAATTATTCCTGGGGGTCTCTAAGGATCCACAAACAGGGTCAAAGGCTCCATGGGAGCTGGACCTCACAGCAGTTAGTAGATACTTCCCAGCACATAAAATGCTGCTGAATTAGATGCATTTGACTGATAGGGTGGGATGATGTTTTGTAGACCCCGATTTTTTGCAGGGTTTAGGGGTGAATGACCACTGCAAAAGTGGAAAAACTGAATATAAATGCTGCTAATTTTTTTTAATTTTGTTTACTTGAGAGAACACCTCTCTTAAGAATTTCCAAGACTTCCTACTCAACTCTATAATTATGCTGAAGACCTAGGAATGCCTAGGGTGAGCACATTAAACAAATTCATGAGTATTCAAACCTGCAAAAACTAAACTTGCAAATGTGGAAAGCCAACTATATTGACAGTAAAGACTATTTTAATATTTGTTGTATTTTTTTAAATAAAACAAATGAGAAGTCAGTTTTGCAGTCTTATAGCCTGGATTTTTAAGAAAAGTTCTTCAGCTCCTTATTTTTACAAAGCTTTAGTCGAGAGCAAGGAGGAATGGTTTTGTTGTAAACCATTTTTCTGAGCCTTTTCACTTGCATTACTAGGCTCGCCAATGTCGGCTTGTAAAGTCAAAAATTGGAAAACGAAGCTTCCCAGGCTTGAGTAAGGATATAAAACCAGCATTCAAAGCGCAGTTAGGCACAAATGGGATACATATCATTGCAAGAAAGAATGCAGCAACTGCTGTAGGTGAAGGTGCTTCCGATTTGGGGCCTGCCCTCAAAAGTATTGGTGGCTTCTTTACCTCTGGAAATGTTGCTTCTTCAGAAAAGCCCCCTTTCTTTCTTCATGTTGAGCTGTTTCCAAGTGGGGAGGGCATTGAATTCTTCTATGGGGATGCCAAAGACTCTCACAAAGTCATCTTCTGATAGGAAGCTCTGGTGATTTGGGAAAAACAACATCCCTTGCATGAGGAAAGGAAAAGTGTCCTTTTCCTAACCAAGTAAAGATAGTTCTACACAACCCAATAATAGTACATGACTGTGATAAACTGCTTTTTGTGAGGCTCATTCTTAATCATAGCCTGTTTTTCACATATGGCTGCCCAGGGGTGTCACGGATCACAAGGTAGATAGGATGTTGGAGACCCTGTTTTGGATGGAGACAATTGTGTCGGGAAAGCTAAGGACCATGCTGGCACAGTGGCTAATACAGGCGGTTCCTGAGTTGCATACAAAATAGTTTCTGCATGTTTGTTCCTAAATTTTATCAGTATGTAAGTCAAAACATACAAATTCAACATAACAAAATTCGAGGAACAGCCAACACGATTCCTCCCCCTCAGCAACATAGAAGATTTTTAGGCAAGCAAAACTCAGAGGTGGGTTTTGCCAGTTCCCCTAAAATATTGTCTACTACATCTGGCACTTATTGGTGGTGCCTTATCCAAGTACAAGCAGTCTCCAAGTTATAAACAACTTTCTGCCCCTGTGATATTGGATTTTATTTGTTTATTTCATTTCACTTCTACCCTACCTTTCTCACCAGAAGGGACTCAAGGCAGCTTACAATTCCGGCAAAAATTCAGTGCAGGTAAAAACTAGTACTAACAATACTAACGGTACTAACAATAAAAATTAAAAAACAATTAACACTAAGCAATCATAAAATACATCAGTATACAAATTTTAAAAGCATTTAAAGAGCTTGGTTTAATTTGTCCATAAACCTTAATCCAGACCACGTCGAAACTAACTTATTCTTCGAACGCTTGTGCACAGAGCCAAGTCTTCAGCCTTTTCCTAAAACCCAGAAGGTATGGCGCCTGCCTGATGTCAGTGGGGAGGGAGTTTCACAGCTGAGGGGCCACCACAGAGAAGGCCCTGTCTGTTGTCCCCACCAGTTACACATGCAAAGGTGGGTCCGAGAGCATGGCCTCCCCAGAAGATCTTAAAAGTTCTAATAGGGTCATAAGAGAAGATGCATTTGGACAGGTAAGTTGGACCAGAACCATTTAGGGCTTTATAGGCCAAGACCAGCACTTTAAATTGGGTTTGGTAGCATATTGGCAGCCAGTGGAGCTGGCGCAGTAGAGGAGTTGTATGCTCCCTGTACACCGCTCTGGTTAGAATTTTTTTTTTTTTTGGAAAAAATTGGCTTGTTGGGGAAACAAGGATTAGTAATGAATCTTCAGTGGAGACAAGTTTCCCCATGAGATCTCTTCCAGAAATAAGGGTAGATTTATCTCACTTCCTGTTGTCTCAGCCCTGTTCTTAATTATGAGTCATTTGTAAGTCAGATGTTTGTAACTCGGGGACTGCTTGTACTAACCAGGGCTGACCTATGATGACACACAGCTCTCGTAACCTTGAGCTATGGGCATGTCTAACTGGATTCAAGCTCTAAGTGCTCTTTCTAAAGACTACATTGCCATAAGAGACCTCACCTCCTTCTTAGCAGGATCCACATCTTCAGGCAGTTCATCTCGACTGGACAGCAGGATTTCCAGAGGGTAGGTTTGGTGTTTGCTGCTGCTACCATTCAAGTTCCCTGATTTTGATGTAAGAGATGAACCATCCAGATTCTAAACAACAAAGATAGTTTGCTAAATGCAACTTTGATAACAGATTTTATACCAGTGTTTCTCATACCTTTGCAGTAATTGATGCTCAGTCTTACCCAGAAATTAAAAGGAATGCATGGCTTACTACTGCACCCTCCAAAAGACTTATTTTTGATAATTAAAAACCATCCATCCCCATAGATGTCTGCCTCTGGGCTTCTGTGTGAATGTTTGTATATCTGAAGATGGTTTCTCCACACAAACACAATTAATTGATTCAGTCCTGTCTTACTCAGGGGCCAAGCAAAAGGATTTGTTTCCCACAAAGTGTTTTTCAGAGGAGCAGTCCTGGGTGACAGTTGGCAAACGCCTTGGATAATTGGGGGTTTAAGAAGCCATTTGTCTTTTATCCTGTGTATTAATCTGTTTCATATCACAATATTCTAGGTTGGAAATGACTAGATTGCACTATTCCAAAAAATCTCTTGAGTTATAATTATTGTAGCTGACAGGTGGACATGGGCCAAAACTAACAAAATGAAGTTCAACAGGGACAAATGCAAGATACTCCACTTGGCAGAAAAAATGAAATGCAAAGATACAGAATGGGGGACGACAGCAGTACATGTGAAAAAGATCTTGGAGTCCTCATGGACAAGTTAAACATGAGCCAACAATGTCATGCGGCAGCTAAAAAAAAAGCCAATGGGATTTTGGCCTGCATAAATAAGAGTATAGTGTCTAGATCCAGGGAAGTCATGCTAACCCTGTATTCTGCCTTGGTCAGACCACATCTGGAATCACACTGTGTCCAGTTCTGGGCACAGGAATTGAAGGGAGATATTGACACGCTGGAATGTGTCCAGAGGAGGGCGACTAAAATGACCAAGGATCTGGAGAACAAGCCCTATGAGGAGTGGCTTAAAGAGCTGGGCATGTTTAGCCCTCAGAAGAGAAGGCTGAGAGGAGACATGATGGCCATGTATACATATATAAGGGGAAGTCACAGGGAGAAGGGAGCATGCTTGTTTTCTGCTACCCTAGAGACTAGGACGTGGAACAATGGCTTTAAACTACAGGAAAGGAGATCCCACCTGAACATTAGGAAGAACTTCCTGTGAGAGCTATTCAGACTCCGTCACCCCAGAGTGTGGCGGAGTCTCCTTCTTTGGAGGCTTTTTAAACAAAGGCTGGATGGCTATCTGTCAGGAATACTTTGAATGTGATTTTCCTGCTTCTTGGCAGGGGGTTGGACTGGATGGTCCACGAGGTCTCTTCCAACTCACAGATTTTATGATTCTATGATTCTATGATGGTATCCTGGCTGCATTAATCTCTATGATAATAGTAGGGGAGAGACCACCTCTTAGTGACACTCTGGGTTCAGTTCCTAGGCTCTCCAACTGAAAAAGGCTCTTAAAAAGTATGTGACTGAACAGACCCTGCCCAAGACACTGAAGATCAGTGGTCAGTCAGAGGAGCAGCACTGAGCTAAACAGACCATATAGTCTGTATTGGGGTAAGGCAACTTTCTCCATTCTTTAGACATCTTTGTTTTGCCTGAAATTTAGTGAGGTCACCAATCAGTTGCAAAACAACCATCGAAGTACTAAAAGACACCCAAAGGCAACCAATTTATTCTGGAGGTTCTTCTCATTCCCCAGTAACAATAACAACAAATAAAGAACTTGCTTCTCTTCTATGACACCCTAGAAGTGAGGATTGAGCTGGTCAGCTCATTCTTCCTAAACAAGAGGGCAGGCCTGCTTCTTAACCATGGGTTGAACTGCATGCTTGGAGAAGCAAATCTTCAACTCACAGCTGTGATCCTGATGGTGGCGTTGGCATCTCCCAGTTCTTTCTTCAGCTGCTCGTATGTCTTCCCTTCCTGAAAGAACAGAACAGAGTTAGGGTACTATTATGTTAGGTGTTAGGAGGAGAGCGCGAATGAGCTCCCTCAGTCATCTCTATGAGAGAAGCCTTCCACAAGGAGGGTAAAACATCAAAACATTTGGGCAACGTCCTTGCAGACAGCCAATTCTCACACCAGAAGCAACTTGCAGTTTCTCAAGTTGCTCCTGACATGGAAAAAATGTTAAGTGTTGGGAGCACAATATAGTTGTACTCCCTAGAGTTTAACCATGGACACATTCTGAATCACAATTAGGTCATCATTTGGCAAAATGTAGAAAGACATAAACTATCAAAACAAAGCCTCATCTATGCTTCTTCAAGAAACCCACAAGCAGAATAATGTTTTGATGCTGGACCTCCTATGCAGGGCTTGCTACATTCATATCAACATGTTGGTAGCACCAGTTTTAGTAAAACTATGCTAGACTTGGGAACTGGAATCTATTTGCATCACAAACTTGGGACACCCAGCTAGGAAAACCAGTCCTGTCCTCAGATTGCATTTATACAATTAGGCTTCTTTCATAGTTTGAACACCAGAAGAATCAACTTTTAGTGGTGTTATTCAGAGCTACATCCAATACTGTGCAAGCAAACCTGGATTCATGACATGGCACCCCCTTTCTCTCATCCCTCCTCAAGATAACCTACACCTTCAATCTGACCTGGTGAGTTCTATAGCCTCTGGGTCAGATAGAGGGAAGTTGCAGAAGGAAAGTTGCATGCCGCTAGCTGACCAACAATTTAATACAGTTTTAATTTTAGCAGGAGCCTAAGGTTTTGGGGCTTATGTTTTAATACTGTAAACTAAAATTTAAAGCACTCAGGGGTTTAAATCTTATAATATCATTTCATGTTTCAATAAGAAATTCAACATTCAAGTTCAAACTGGCAAATCTGGATATATTGGCAGATTTCAAGGATTTTATCAAATACCTTGGGGATATTTATCTGTGTTTAACAGGTGGTCACATTCATATAATATCTATTTTACTGCTTTCAGACTGTGTACTTTATATCAATGTGACATCAGCAGCATAATAACATTCCTGGGGGGAAAAATCCAAAGTATTTGATGAACACTCTGTACTTACACTCCACCGATAGGGATCCCAAGCTAAGAACCAGCCAGTGAAGTTGGGAGGCTCAAAGCCTTGCTTGATTATCAGGATGGGAGTATCAGTCTCCCTCCCACTGGGGTGGGTCTGCAGATATTCTTGAGCTGTTGTCAATGCCTCCTTCCTCTCTGTTGCATTGGCTTCTTTGCCGATCCATAAGAAAATCTAGAAAATGAAATACAAGAGTCTTGCTTATCCAACATAAACAGGCTGGCAGAATGTTGGATAAGTGAAAATGTTGGATGATGAGGGATTAAGGAAAAACCTATTAAATGTCAAATTATGTTATGATTTTACAAATTAAGCACCAAAACATCATGTTTTACAACAAATCAACAGAAAAAGCAAATCAATACACTGTAACATTATGTAGCAATTACTATATTTACGAATTTAGCACCAAAAACATCACAATGTATTGAAACAGCTGTGGATCTGGGCAGGAGGCAGACTGCATTGGATAATACAGAACGTTGGATGAGCAAAGGTTGGATAAGCGAGACTTTACTGTATTATTATTTCATGTTATTCACTGGAATAATGCACAGAAGTTCTACCATGAAAGGGAAAGGTCAATATGGCATCTCCATGTCCCTTCCTAAATCTCTTTATCTCTGCACTACTTCCAATAGTAGGCCTGTTATTTTAGGAAAGTTCAAAAGCTTATTGTCTGTCTCCAGACTCCCAGTGGCTTATTCAGGCTGAAGGTCCCACTGCTAACAATAATGCTTTATAATAGCCTTCTCCAACCAGATGTCCCTCAGAGTTGCATTCAATGATTTCAAAGCTTGACACACTACTCTTCCTTTCATTATCCTCACAATAATTTTATGCAGTGGGCCAGACAGCAAAAGAGAGACCCAAGAGACTGGCCTAAGGTCAGTTTCCTAGCTTAGTGAAGGATTGAATTGTAGATCTTCCAAGACCAACCCAGCATTAGAACTGCTATACTTGGCTCTCATGCTGCGTAGGAATGACAGGAGGTAACCATCTGGAGAAACTAAATGTTATTAATGGTTATGATCCAACTCTTCCTCTATAAAGCTTTGCAGTGATTTTCCCCACAGCAGCAGGAGCTTAATGCTTTTGAGGGAAGTAGCTGGACTTGAGTACTCCTGGATCTATTGACTTTGAAGTATGTCATGTTCCATCTTCATCATACCTTGCCTTTCCTTGTCATCCTAAAACTTTTTTTAAGCAGAGGTAGAAGTGATGTGGCTCTCTATGTGTTTCTGCTTTGTAAACTTTCAATATTATACCTTTTAGCATTCCTAATGTGACCTAAGACTCATAGGAGTAGCAGCCCAACAACATCCAGATGATTCTGCCTTCCATTTGAAAAGAGTATATTAAATCAAAGGTGGTCAACTTGTGGCCCTCCACTTATTATTGGATTTCAGCTCCCATCATCTCTCTCCACTGCCTGTCCTGGTTACAGCAGGGAGCAGTTTTAGTTCAGCAACATTGAGTAGCCCAACTGTGCCTTAAAAGTTGCTGCAGACCTCCAAGTCCTCTCTCCTGGCAAAGAAAATGGACCTTCAGCTGCCTCAAACTCCCTAACAGAATGAAATAACATCAGGAGATATATATGACACCATGACAACAGAATAAGAGATGTACAAGTTCTGGATAAGTTCACACTCCAGTTCCAGCCACACCTGGTCCCAGGTATCCAGCAGCATAACGTCACTTTCACTGAGGTCATCCTGGGTGAAGTCAGTTATCTCAGTGACGACAAAACGTCCAGTTTTGTTGGAGCATTCAAAAAGCCGGGGAGGGTGATCAGGGACTTCCTGCTGCAGCCTGAAAGATAAAATAGCATTACTGGGAGAAAGGCCGTCCCAGTCTCATTTCCTGGGTGTGCAGATGAAAGATTTCCCAAACGAAAACCAACAGAATGTTCACCCTATCCAGAAAACAAACAAACTCTGAATGCAAACCTATTCATTTTTTTACCACTATCCAAAAATTGCAAGTATTCAGATTTCAAGTTTAAGGTGTTTCCAGATAAAGCTCGAACTGTGCAGCTGTCGGTGTCATTTTCAGATTTTTACAGATGCGAGATGACATCATATTCCATTCGTAACCCATATGTTTTTTCTCCACAGCTGCTTTATATTTCTTACCAGAAAAAAATATATATTAAGAATCAGAATAGGAAACACTTTTGATGGTGTGAGATGCCATCCATCTGGTTGAAACATTTTAAAGAATAAATAAAACTGGGCTAAGTCAATTCCAATTTATGGTGACCTTTTCATTGGTTTTTGTGGCAGGACTTCAGATGAGAAAGTTTTTAATTCTTCTGAGGCTGGGAAGATATGACTTGCCCAAGATTGGCAAGTGAGTTTTCAGGGTTGATTTGGGATTTGGTGTCCTAGTCCAACACTCAACCAGTAGGCAGAGGGCAGTTCAATCCTCTTCCTAGTCTACTGAATGGCCAGGGAGGATGCAAAGAAAATTGCAGAGAAACCATGATACTGGGGATTATGTCATTTGCAAAAGGTGAAAGAAGATTCCAATCTCTGCAATAATCAATTAAAGGTGTATGTCAAGTTTATGTTTGACTTAAGCTCACATTTGTCACTAACAGAATTTATTCCCCAACCTCAGGAGGTGGGGTCTGAATCCTGTTAATGACATATGTAAGCTAATTCATTCAACCAATGCCAGTGAATATCAGCCTCCATCCTGTTGAGAGCTGGGATGTAAGTACCTTTTTTCACTTGCATAAGGAGCCTGGCCTCCCAGCAGCTCCCAAAACTCCTTTGGTTCCTGTCCTTCTGCCACGGTCTCTTGAAGGCCATCACAAATCATGGTGGCAAGCTGCTTGGCCATCTCTCTTTCATCACCACTGGAACCCTGACATGAAAACCACAGAAATGAGACATGACAGGACAGTCCAAGACTTTGTGTTGCTTGAAACAAAAGACATGGTGATGTTTTCTTTGCTCTATTTCATCCTTGCTCTGTTCCATCTATAGAAGGGAACTGAAGCAAACCTGAAACAGCATCTTACGTCACATAAGTGATGAAACGTCAAGGTTTGTGAAATCTACCTTTTTGACTACAGTGCCCTGAGTCCTCTAAACATGTTGACAGCAGTTTTAAAAAGGGAAAGTAATTTATTTATTATTCTTTATTTACAGTATTTACATTCTGCCCTTCTCACCCCGCAGGGGACTCAGGGTGGATTACAGTCACATATACATGGCAAACATTCAAATACACAACATATATAGACAAACACAGAGGCAATTTAAGCTTCATGAGGGTATGCTCAAATTGCAGCCACCAAGGGAGCTGTCTCTTCATGGTCCATTTGTGACACTGAGTCCTTGATGGAGAACTTCCTCATTCTTTCGCTCACTGCTGGAGATTTTTATGGTGTCATAAATTAGTTAAATTAGCCTCCCTGCATAAGTGGTACTTAAATTTCCTACTTGACAAATGCAACTGTCTTTCGGGCTGCGAAGGTCAACTGCAAGCTAGACAAATGGTCGGGAGCTTACTCTGACCTGGGCTGGCTTTGAACTCAGTGGTGATTTAATGCACCTGACTCCTAGCCAAGTGCGCCACAGCCCAGCCCATTTTTCCCATGCTCAACAGAACAGTCATTTTTTGGTATCCCCAAAGGCATCTAGTAATATAAAAATGTAGGGACAGACTGTGTAGCACATACATTCTGTCCTTTAAACAAATTACCATTGCCTCCAAAGTGCTGCCACCTAGACCTGCCTTCTCCTAGACATGATCACAGACTGTTGCTCCATACATTTCAGAGTTTTATCAAACTGAACTTCAGATCTCCAAAAAATTTGGTGTTTGGTGACAAGATCATAGTTTCGTAGGCCCGCCCTTCCCGCCCGCCCGGAAGTCCGCGTTCGTTTCCAATATGGCGGCGGCAAACCCGGAAGTGGGTCGGAGTAGACGCCAGAGCCGGGAACTCTGAGGTGGTTGCTGCCGTTCCTGGCCGGTTTCCACAAGGGAAAGAAGGAGGACGAGTTTAGAACGGTGAAAAGGAGCAGCCGTTGCCGCTTGCCACAGTTGGAGCCGCGGCCTGAGGCACCCGCCTCGCCTGGGAGTTGGGCGGAGTGACAGGCGACCACCATTTACCTGCTGGCGTCCATCACAGCAAGAGGCGGCCATCTGTTGCCTCGCTGCGTGGGCCGGCAGGAACCCCCCCCCCCGCTGACTGGTAGTGCGGTGAGCAGTGAGCCCGTCGTACCATCGCGGCTGCCACCTCGCAGCCGCCTCGCAGCCGCCGCCGACGGCGGGGGCCGACATCAACATCACCGCCATCGCCGAGGCAGGACATCGCCGCTACAGCAGCCGCCGGAGTATAGATCGAAGCCTGCAGGCCGCCACTTGAGTGGCTCCCAATAAGACCATCAGGAAGAGCCTGGCTGTAACAACCGCGGCCTAGTAGTTACTAGGGCTCTCGACTGGCCAACTCTGCCACCTGCTGGCCTCTCCCGGCTAAGGCGCCGATCAACCTAGTGAACTATCTATTTGTGTTGACCGATTTTGTGCTGCCCAACTGTGTAACGCAAGCCGTGTGTAGACCTCTTGCTGTGCTGACCAATCATTTCGCCTGACCGAGCAACTCAAGCTGTGTTTAGACCAATTTGTGCTGACCAACTGCTGTGTTGACCAACTCCGGAAAGACTGAGAGAATCATCCGCTGTTTACATCTGCTGTCCATCGACAACACCTTGAATCACAACAACGCTACCAACCTTACCAACTCTTAATAGTGTGCCTATATAATATTGACATAGTTCGTTCCTTGCCTGCCTTTGTTGCAAATCTGGTATTAAGAACGTAAAATAGCACCAAGGCGCCTGCCTATTTGCTGCTATACTGTCCTAGCACTTGCGCCCCCTTCCCTACCCTCTATGCCGCACTTTAGTTAGCGCTGAGAGCCAGATTTGGGTATTTGTTGCACTTTATGATCCTTGCACTTTACGAATTTGCCCAACGGCACACAGATGTATTGCTGACTGTGTTGCACTTTAAGACTCTGCACTTTACAAACCTTCTAATTGTTTAACTGTTGTGGCTGAACTGCTTAGTATCATCAGATTATTATTATCCATGTGGCCCCCCATCCCCCTATTTGTGCTGTTCCTGTTTTTAGCGACCAGTGGAAGGGACGGAGAAGGAGGTGGGCTGGAGCCGGTGAACAATAGTGAGGCGGGGAGGGGGGAGGAGGTGAAGCAAGGGAGTTGGCAGGGACCAATAAACCAAACATCCAATGAAACAGATAATAAGACCCTGGTTTGGGACCGCGGCATGGAGGGGGGGAGATGTTCCACCAGCCGAGGGGCCCCAATAGAGGTCGTGGTGGGAAAGAGGAGATGCGGAAAAAGGAGACCTCGAATTCGGCCTAATTCGGACCACTTATCAACATTAATAATCCCAAATCGGTCTCCTAAGGTAAATTGGTGTAACCAGGTGAGCGGGCCCTCTGGATTGAAGGTGGTGCTGCTGAACGCCAGATCTGTCAACGGAAAAACGACCTTTATCCAGGATTTAATCCTGGACGAGCGGGCAGATCTGGCGTGCATTACGGAGACCTGGTTGGATGAAGCTGGGGGGGGGGTGAATCTGACCCAGCTTTGTCCCCCAGGTTTCTCCGTACAGCACCAACCGAGATCCGGAGGACGGGGAGGCGGGGTTGCAGTGGTCTATAGAGATTCCATCCATCTGACCAGGAGCCCCATCCCGCAGACCACAAATTTTGAATGCGTCCACCTGAGGGTGGGTGACCGGGACAGAATAGGGATTCTTGTAGTGTACCGTCCACCTCGCTGCACTACAGTCTCCCTACCTGAGCTAGCGGGGGTAGTCTCGAGCCTGGCGTTGGAGTCTCAATGGCTTCTGGTGCTGGGAGACTTCAATATCCATGCTGAGGCGACCCTCACAGGAGCGGCTCAGGACTTCATGTCTGCCATGGCAACCATGGGGCTGTCCCAACAAATATCTGGCCCCACCCATTGTGCTGGACACACATTGGACTTGGTTTTCTGCCAGGGATGGGAGCAGGGTGGCGGTGTGGAGGAGTTGTCTATCTCTCCGTTGCCATGGACCGACCACTTCCTGATCAGATTTAGGCTCACTGCGCCCCCTAACCTCCGCAAAGGTGGAGGACCCATTAAGATGGTCCGCCCCAGGAGGCTTATGGATCCGAATGGATTCCTGACGGCTCTTGGGGATTTTCCCGCCACCTCGGTAGGTGACCATGTCGAGGCCTTGGTCGCTCTCTGGAATGGGGAGATGGCCAGGGCAATTGACATGATCGCTCCGGAACGTCCCCTCTCAAGTAGCCGAGCTAAACCAGCCCCTTGGTTTACTGAGGAGCTGGCAGTGATGAAGCGAAGGAAGAGGGAACTGGAGAGCGTGTGGCGTTCAGACCCAAGCGAGTCAAATCGAACACGGTTTGTGTCCTTTTTAAGGGCATACACCGCGGCAATAAAAGCCGCAAAGAAAACCTTCTTTGCGGCTTCCATTGTGTCTGCAAAGAACCGTCCGGCGGAGTTGTTTCGGATTGTCAGAGGTCTTTTAACTCCCGCCACTTCAGGCGGGAGCCCTGACAATTCGGTCACGCGCTGTGAAGCATTTGCTTGGTTCTTTGCAGACAAAGTCGCTTTGATCCGTTCTGAGCTGGACACCATGTTAAATGCAGTCTCTGTGGATGTGACACGAGCACCTGCTTGTCCTATTTTGATGGATTCTTTTCAGTTTGTGAAGCCCGAGGATGTGGACAAGATACTTGGAGGAATGAGGCCTACCACGTCCATCCTAGACCCCTGCCCATCCTGGCTTCTGAAGGAGGCCAGAGGGGGATTGGCTGAGTGGGTAACGGTGGTAGTTAATGCCTCCCTTCGGGAAGGCAAGATTCCAACATGCTTAAAACAAGCCATTATAAAACCGCTGTTGAAGAAACCATCACTGGACCCCACTAAATTCGACAACTTTCGGCCTGTTTCCAATCTCCCCTTTTTGGGCAAAGTCATGGAAAGCGTGGTGGCCTCACAACTCCAGGTATTCTTGAGAGACACGGATATTCTGGATCCGGCACAGTCTGGTTTCAGACCGGGACATGGTACTGAGACGGTCTTGGTCGCCTTAGTGGATGATCTGCGCCGGGAGCTAGACAGGGGGAGTGTGTCCCTGTTGGTGCTCCTGGACCTCTCAGCGGCCTTCGATACCGTCGACCACGGTATCCTTCTGGGGCGCCTTGCGGAAATGGGTCTTGGGGGCACTGCTCTGCAGTGGCTCCAGTCATTTCTGGAGGGTCGTACCCAGAAGGTGTTATTGGGGGACTCCTGTTCAACACCACAGCCTTTGACCTGTGGGGTTCCACAGGGTTCTATACTGTCCCCCATGCTGTTTAATATCTACATGAAGCCGCTGGGTGAGATCATCCGGAGTTTCGGGGTGCGGTGTCATCTGTACGCAGATGATGTCCAACTCTGTCACTCCTTTCCACCTGCTACTAAGGAGGCTGTCGAGGTCCTGAACCGGTGCCTGGCCGCTGTAATGGTCTGGATGAGGGCGAACAAACTGAAATTAAATCCAGACAAGACAGAGGTACTCCTGGTCAGTCGTAAGGCCGAACAGGGTATAGGGTTACAGCCTGTGCTGGACGGGGTCACACTCCCCTTGAAGGCGCAGGTTCGCAGCTTGGGTGTGACCCTGGATTCATCTTGAGCCTGGATCCCCAGGTTTCAGCGGTGACCAGGGGAGCATTTGCACAGCTTCGGCTCGTGCGCCAGCTGCGCCCGTATCTGGGGAAGTCTGACTTGGCCACGGTGGTACACGCTTTGGTCACATCCCGCCTCGACTACTGCAACGCTCTCTACGTGGGGCTGCCCTTGAAGACGGCCCGGAAGCTTCAGCTAGTCCAGCGCGCGGCAGCCATGTTACTAACGGGAGCGGGACACAGGGAGCACACAACGCCCTTGTTGTCCCAGCTCCACTGGCTGCCGATCTGCTACCGGGCCCAATTTAAGGTGCTGGTGTTATCCTACAAAGCCCTAAACGGTTCCGGCCCAAAATACCTTTCGGACCGCATCTCGGCCTATGAGCCCACGAGGGCCTTGAGATCGTCTGGGGAGGCCCTTCTCTCGATCCCGCCTGCCTCACAGGCACGTCTGGCGGGGACGAGAGAGAGGGCCTTCTCAGTGGTGGCCCCCCGGCTGTGGAACACCCTCCCTGTTGACATCAGGCAGGCGCCCTCCCTTATGGCTTTCCGTAAGAGCCTAAAGACCTGGCTATTCGAGAAGGCATTTAATTGAGAGCTACACGAATCTGGTAATGACAACTGGAACGGATTATGGATTATGAGACTGGCTATGATTCTATGTTGTGACGGTGCGGATTTGTTAGTGTGATTTAGATTAATGTGTAATATGGTTATGTTGATATATTGTGTGCTTTTTGTAAACTGTTTTTATATGTTGTACACCGCCGCGAGTCGCCCCAGGGCTGAGAGCGGCGGTCAACAAATGCAGTAAATAAATAAATAAATAAATAAGATCGGATTGCAGCATAAAACGTCAACTTCTGTCAGTTGGAAGGATGGACCCCAACTTCCATTTAACAGAAAAAGAAATTCAGCGTCTTCACTTCACATCAAAAGCAAAAGACTGAATTTCTTTTATTGTTAAATGGAAGTTGAGGTCTAGCCTTCCAACTGACAAATGCTGATGTTTCATGGCTGCAATCCTATGGCTAATATCACATAGTACTTCTGCATATGTAACTATGCTAGGTCAAATCATATATCACCAACGTCATATAGCTTTTGAGTCCTATGTCTTTTGAGATATGATCATTCCATGACTTGCCAAGAATGAGCTAGATCACAGAAGCCTCTATGTCCCTATTAACAGATGCAAAATCATTAAACCATTGCTAAGACCTACTAGTGTCCTTCAGAAGTCACAGCACTGATGCACAATCAGCCCATCATGTTTGTAAGTTTCATTTTTGTGGATTTGATTATTCATGGATTTGATTAAATTGTTCTCACTAAGACTCTCTAGGTCCTAAACCAAGTCTACGGTCAGTTTCCAGTGGAAATTGACCACAGAGTTGTGCTGAAGTTCTTTGATATGTCAAGAAAGGTGTTCTCTTGGGTTTTTAAAAGGCATTTTTAATTCAGTTTTTCACTTTCATGGCAAATGGGGAGTCCCTGTGCTCCTAGCCCCAGGGAATGAAAAGGGCTGATAGTAATCATTTTGCTCTAGATAAGCACACATATGGCATGCAACGACCAAAGAGAAAAGAGGCTTTGGAGGCTGTGTACAATAGGTCAAGGGGATGCTTTTGGCCACCATCCAGTGAGCCACCCTTTCTGGACTCACCTTGCCGTACCACAGGTAATGCCCTGTCTGGGCTCTAAGCAAGAAGACATCATTGGAATTGAGAGATTCTGCAGATGATGGCACTTCCACTGCCTTCGTGTTGGAGCTGTCTGTTCCACGGATCTGGAAGAGCCTCACTTGGGCTTCCACTTCATTACCACCATTTCTTGACGTTCCACCCTATGTTGGATGCAAGAGAAGGGCAGAAGAAGACAATGCATCTGAAAAGTGAACAATAATGTGGTTGGAGAGATAGTGACTAACCCAGGAATGGGAACTGTGTGATTCCTAAATGTTGTTGTCTGGAGAACAAGCCCTATGAGGAGTGACTTAAAGAGATGGGTATGTTTAGCCCTCAGAAGAGAAGGCTGAGAGGAGACATGATGAGGGCCATGTATAAATATGTGACGGGAAGTCATAGGGAAGAAGGAGCAGGCTTGTTTTCTGCTGCCCTGGAGACTAGGAGCAATGGCTTCAAACTACAGGAAAGGAGATTCTGTCTGAAAATTAGGAAGAACTTCCTAACTATAAGGAGAGCTGTTCAGCAGTGGAACTCTCTGTGGTGGAGGCTCCTTCTTTGGAGGCTTTTAAACAGAGGCTGGATGGTCATCTGTCAGGGGTGCTTTGAATGCGAGTTTCCTGCTTCTTGGTGGGAAGTTGGACTGGAAGGCCCACGAGGTCTCTACCAACTCTACGATTCTATATGATTCTATATGATGTCTGACTTTTAAAGATCTTTTAACCGTTCCCAACCTCAGAGCTCCAAGTGCTGTTAGGCTACAATTCTGTCTACATGGCAGATAATCAAAAGTAATGGGAATTGTCATTCAATAACATCTGGGTTCCCAGATTGGGTAAAAGCGACAGAGCACTGACCGCTATGTAAAAAACATATAGGTGGACCTCTGTGTCTATGGATTCTCCATCCATAAATTTAACTGCCCTTTGGAGGCAATCATAAGGTTGGTGTGGACTCAGTGAAAATGACCTATTTTCAACATCCGTACCCATTTTAAAAAAATCTTTATTCTGTATTTATTTAGGTTGTATCCTGGTTGCTTTTCTCAGAAGTGGGATTCAAGACAGCTTACAAAACAGAAATGGGTGCAATATAAATTAAAACATATGAAGAATATATATCATTACATGCAACTGAACCTTTTGTAACATTAAAAGCATTGCAAAGACCCATTAAAATGAAGGTTTAATTTAAAAGGGTAAAGAGTAGTGAAGCTAATGATGAAAAAACCTTTTCTTAATAACAGTTACAGTAGTTTCTGAAAACCTGGCAGAATAATAAAAGGCCTGTCTTCCAAAGAAAGGAAAACAAGAAACGGAGCAGCAAAGGGCCCAAGTGCAGTTACCAAGGAGGCTCTGCCTTGTGTCCTCACCAAATGGACCTCTGAATAGAGTGTGATCAAGAGAAATGCCTTTAGTTCGTAGTTTTAGAGTTATAGGAAAAAATGTATGTCTGGTTAATCAATTGATATCTAAGAACAGTGTTCCCTCACTATTACGCAGTTTGGTTTTTGCGGACTCGCTGTTTCGCAGGTTTTTGCCTCCTAGTTTATGAATGGTTGCCATTGCCCAGAGCGGCGTTCTAATCCCACCTCCTGGCAACAATGGAGTGTGGAAGGGGGTTTCACCCTCCCTCTCAGGAGAAAGGCAGCAAAGCTGAGATGTGTGGGACCTTTAAATCTCTCCTTGTTTCTGACTCACCCTCGGAACGCTATATGCATATAAAGCATCCCTACTTCGCAGATTTTCACTTTTTGCAGGTGGTCCTGGAATGTAACACCCACGATAAGTGAGGGAACACTGTATGACTGTCTTCATGTACTTATACGTATTGTTGCTTTTCTTTTTGTGTGTAATTAAAAATATTGGGGGTGGGAAGAAAACACAGTCCTTCAGATCAACATAATTCAGATTTACAGTATTTTTAGCAGTTAAACAGGTACAGAAAAACCCAGGAGATTCTTCATTCTTAATTTCAGTACTGAATCCTACTTCATACCTCAAAGATGACAAGGTTTCCTTTGAAGATAGCCAGGAAGTGACGTGGTTCTTTGCCCATGGTCACTCGGACCTGCACAGGCTCTCCGTTGTAGTGCTGATCCACCTCCACTGCGTGATAGGCTGAGGCCGCAAGCTCATCCACTGTGGCATGGCGTCCCTGAAGGCACAGCAAAAACCTCAAGAGATCTAGCATAATGCTCTCAGAAAACGAAATTATCTGTTCTCTTCCTCCCCCTTTTTAATGTTTCTCTTTCTCTTAGCTAAAGTAACCATTACATGGGAAATTACATGGAGCAAAGATTTCTCGATGCCACAGTCCTGATCCTGTTTCTTATACCCAACTTTTGAAGAATATGTGTTAACACATATTCTTCAAAAGTTGGGTATAAGAAACAGGATCAGGACTGTGGCATCGAGAAATCTTTGCTCCATGGCAACCATTCTTCTAAACTCTTCATCAAAAATACTCCTAGTAAAGGAGGAGAAAACATATTGGCACTAGGCATGTCTGTCTTGTTTCTGTTCCTATGAAGAGTGCTTAGTGGGCCTGAACAGGGTACTGAGCTCATTTGGATCCTGAAACGCATTCATTTTGTGCCTGAGGTAAACAGAGAGGAGCTGCAAACACTACATTATTCTTTTGCAACCATGCCTCTGCCAGATATGTTAAAATACATGTGAACTATAGTCCAACACATCTGGAAAGTGCTGTCAGTGTAAACCCAGCCTTAGTGGAAAGAAAGAGCAAGCAATGAGCTTATATCCACAAAAGGCTTTGAAATCAAATCCCCACGGGCAGTCAACAAACTGTGTTTCTGAGGCAACCCCAGTTGAGACTCTCCCACATACCTGCCAGATGTACAAGATATAACGTGGCTTCCGGCTCACTTCATAGGTGTACAGAACTAAGTAGCAATCTCCGCCATAGAAGAAGCCATGCCACCGAGAGTCCACTGGAACAAGCTCCAGGTTCTCAATCCTCCAGACCTAGGGAAGACAAAACATTTGGTGCATTTGGGTCCCCATAACTCACAGTGTAATAGAACTGGGACTAGCAGGACTGAAGTGTCAAGAACATTTAATTAGAAAGGATGGCGACATTTGTCATCCCACCTCTTCGGTCTGTATTTGCAATCTGCTGAATAGCTGACAGGAAAACAAATCCTCCCTCCCCCAAATCAATTGTCATTGTGAACTATTTGAGCTGCAGTGAAAAGCATTTTGAGGTGGCTTGGTTTGGAGTACACAATTACAAAAACCTGTTTCTAGTGGAGACGAACATTCCTGGCTTATATTTTCAGAGTCCCCTTAGAAGCCTGGCAATGATGACTATCTAACCCAGGCATAGGCAAACTTTTTTGTCTTGGGGCCGCAGTGGTCAGGAGGGCCGGGCATATGCTGGGCGGGGTGGGGCCAGAAGGGGGCAGGACAGGGCCTGAGTCATCCTCAGGTTGTCCTCCCAGCATAAGGACGGGGCTGCTCGCCCCATCCTTATGCCAGGAGGAAGGTGGGACATGTGGCGGCTTAGAGTGCTCCGGGGGCTCACTGTGTGGCTTCCTCGGCCGTCCTGCCAGCAGAAACATGGAGCTGCTTGCATCATCCTTATCCTGGGAGAAGGAGGAGGTCCCTCAGCTGCTGTGTGCCTTCCTCTCTAGTCTTTTTGGCATAAAGACACGGTGGGCTGCTGTGTCCTTATGCCAAGAGGACAGGGAAAATTAGGAGGGCCTGAGGAAAGTGCCCAGGGGGCTGCATCCAGCTCCCGGCCCTTAGTTTGCCCATGCCTGGTGGTCTAGCCCCACATTTGCTAAGGTAAAGTGCAACCCAGGACTCCTCCAGAAGTTGTTTCAAAAAGAATATTACTTTGAAAAAATATATTTGGCTCAAGAACATCCTCAAATTAACTTTAAGGATATTAAAATGGCATTTCTATTACGTCTAGAGCCCACCTGAGCCACCTGGAGCCCCTGGTGGCAGAGTGGGTTAAACCTCTGTGCCTGAAGATCGACAGGTCACAGGTTCGAATCTGAGGAGAGCGCAGATGAGCTCCCTCTATCAGTTCCAGCTCCTCATGCGGGGACATGAGCGAAACCTCCCAAAAGGATGGTAACATATCCAAATACCCAGGCGTCCTCTGGGCAACATCCTTGCAGACGGCCAATTCTCTCACACCAGAAGCGACTTGCAGTTTCTGAAGTCACTCCTGACAAAACCAAAACCAACCAACCAAACAAACAAACCTTGAGCCACCTGGGAGAGCCCAAAACATTTTGGCAAAACTTTTCCAAAGCATTTTCTTGCTTTCTTAGCCTCAAGGAGAAGGGATTTAACAATGTGTGATGGAAATATTTGCAACACTTACAAGTTAAGCACCCCTTGTTGTTTAATCATCAAGTTAACTTCACCTTATAACAATCCTTTGAATGAGAGACCTCCAAGTGATCCTGGCATTCAAAACTCAAATTTGGATAATTTTCAGTCATAGTTTGCTTGAGTTTGTCCACCCATGTTGTAGTTTTCCTCTTTTTCTACTGCCTTCGACTTCATCCGGCATTGCTGTCTTTTCCACTAAGGCTGGTTTTACACTGACCATATAATACAGTTTGAACTACATTGGACTGCATTATATGGCCAGTGTAAAACTAGCCTCAGTCATTTATTTATTTATTTATTTACTACGCTTAAATACCGCAATTCTCAGCCTACTGGCGACTCATTGCGGTGTCTCAGTCATGTCTCATAAGAAGTTACTATTCATTTTTATGATATTCTTCTTTAAAGGAAAATCCCCTTTTTAACTTCTCCCAGGCTGACTGTAATCTAACCCTTACTGATGTGGGCTCCGCTACCGGGTCGAACTGTGTCTCAAACGTTGAGTGGACCTACCAGCAAGGCAGTAGATGTTCTCCAGCTGGAGTTCTTTGGTCTTTAGGGCTGTTTTCCTGGAAATTCTTTGGAGACTCTTAAGACCTTTCTCCCCCGGAAGGTCTTAAGGGTTGAAGCTTTTGTACAGGGGAAGCTTGCACACATCCTATACATAAGCTTACCTTGCTAAAAATGGCTCCCTTCCCAATTGCCCTGAGCAAGGGGCGGGACCAAAACTTAACAATGATGGACAGGTGACTTGCCCTATGACTGCAACCAAAGAAGCCACCTATCTGCAGAGTCCCTGAAACCTAGGACTGCAAGCAAACATTTAATACAAAGCAAATAAAGTTGGAGCTCCTGGTAAAGCTGTACCAGAACAACTACATCGGCTATTGCTGCAAGTAATGACAGTGTGAATAAATTGCCAATATTTGCTTGAGATAGTGCTTGCAGTTCTGGAGGGACTCTTAATTTTTTGCATCTCATAGACTTAGCATGGGGATTTGGTTAACCAGTTAAAATTCATGAGTAAACCAGGTTTTTTAAAAAAATCTGAAACATTTGGGGGGGGGGGTTGAACCCCTAACCCCCCCCCCCTCGCTACAGGCCTGCGTCCATGCCTCTTTCACTAAGAGTTATAGCCCCCAGGCGCGACAGCACATCCAAAGTACAATAGCATTCATTTAACAATTTTGGCTTTTAGTGAGAGTATTTTCTGAAGATGTCCCCTTTAAGTCCTGCATTACCATTGTGAAAACACAGAGAGAGATTGGTTCCCAAAATAACATTTAGTTCTGTACACAGATTTCTTCAAATAGGCAAAGATTTCACACTTCCGCCTTCTTGGGAGTTTCTATGAAATCTCCAGGTCTGAACACACACATCCCAAAATAAATCCCAAGAAATGTCAAGTTTTAAGAGCCAAACATTCAGATTCTATAGTTAGAATTTAGAACACTATGCCAATTTTTCTAATCTGCTTATTTCTAATGAAAGAATATTCTATTCTCTGCCATTATTTTCTTTTAAAAATTGTAACCACTTGCAGAAATGTGGTTGTGTATATTGTGAAATTATTATAAAAAATGTTGGTTACAATATATAATACAAATTATTATAAAAGAATATTGATTACAATATATGACTTTGTTATGATGCATGGTTACTCTACAAATAACAGACCTCCAAGAATCCCAATCATCAAGAGTCTCGTCCCATTTTTCTATAGCCGATGTGTGAATCCAAACAGGGTGAATGTGATGTTGACTGTTGCTGAGCCCTATTTATTTCTTTAAAAAGCTCAGCCTCCTTTTCCGTGGCATGAAAGCAGTTCAGCCAATGAAGGACACGGATTTCTTATTTTCCAGACTCAGCAAGATATCAAAACACCATGATCACTGACTGCTGGATGATGCTTAAATGGCTACATACTATTGATCCTGCTGATATGATGGCCTGTCGGAAAGGCAAAAATAAAGAAGAATTTCTTTTGTAAAGGAAAGCCAAGCTATTCTGGGATTTGTTCTTACCTCCACTGTTCCTTCTCCATTATCCACCATCCTCTCCTGAGCCGCCAGTTCTGGCTGAGTATGCAAAAGGGTGACGTCAAATTTCTCCTGGTTGATCTTAGCTGAAAAGGAACAACCATCAAAAAGAGGGAGCAGTTGGCATCAACTGGATCACAAATTAGAATTATGGTCTCCCAGATGTTCTTGGTCTACAACTTCCAAACAGCTGTCTCCAAGGTTGGCAGGCGTTGGGGAGCATGAGAATTGCAGCTGAAAACATCTGGAAGGCTTTTGTTACTCACTGCTGAGTTAGATCTATAGGTTGGAATTATTTTTTTTAAATGTTTATTTATATCCTGCCACCCCCAGTGGCACAGTAGGTTAAAGCACTGAGCTGCTGAACTTGTTGACCGAAAGGTTGCAGGTTTGAATATGGGGAGTGGCGTAAGCTCCTGCAGTCAGCCCCAGCTTCTGCCAACCTAGCAGTTCGAAAACATGCAAATGTGAGTAGATCAATAGGTACTGCTCCAGCAGGAAGGTAACAGCACTCCATGCAGTCATGCTGACCACATGACCTTGGAGGTGTCTACGGACAATGCCAGCTCTTTGCCTTAGAAATGGAGATGAGCACCACACCCCAGAGTCGGACACGACTGGACTTAATGTCAGGGAAAAACTTTTACCTTTTTTACTTTTCTCTTATATGGAACCCAAACAACTTACACAACATGTTAAATTAAATTAATCTATCATACAAAAAATTTAAAATGTTGCAATTAAAAAAAAGGTAATTGTTGTTGAGGCACGATGTTTGTGCCATTGTAAGCCCCTTGTGTCCCCCTGTTTGGGTAGAGAAGGGCGAGGTATAAGTATGGCAAATATATATATAGTAACAACACAGCAGCGTACTTAAAAAACATTACTTCAGAGCATCATGCAGCCTTGGGAGAGGAACAGAAAAACTGTGCAACCACAGAAAACCATCAGTCCAAGAATATGGATACAAAAGAGTTTCTCCCAAGTCACACTCTCCCCATCCAGGGTCAGGTCTTGCCTTACCAATTTTGCCCACGGCGTAGGTTTTTCCGAGCCCCACAGACTGGTCAGCCACAGCCCATTTCTGGAAGAGTTGTTTGAACATGGCAGACTCAGCTCCATCGTGCACAGTCTCCAGGTTCGTGCTGCAAGGGTAGCCTTGCATCCTCATGAATTCCTGCCAAGTATAAAGGAGGAGGAGGATTGACCAAGGGCAGTCTATATGGGACTTCCAAAGTGCTAACATAATAGCTTGCATAATTTAGATGTCAAATCCACTTCATATCACTTCTACCATTACATTCAAGCGGAGCGCCTGGTGGCGCAATGGGTTAAACACTTGTGCCGGCAGGACAAAAGACTGACAGGTCGGAGGTTCGAATCCAGGGATAGCGTGGATGAGCTCCCTCTGTCAGCTCCAGCTTCTCATGCGGGGACATGAGAAAAGCCTCCCACAAGGACGGTAAACATCAAACACCCGGGGATTCCCTGGGCAATGTCCTTGCAGACAGGAAATTCTCTCATACCAGAAGCGACTTGCAGTTTCTCAAGTCGCTCATGACACAGAAAAAAAAAATCACATTCAAACATATCCTCTGCCCCGCACATCCCCCAGTACATGTTGCTCAACTTGCAATTGTTTTTCTGAATACGGCATTTATTCATTCAGAAAATAGCTTGCCCTGTTCTGGCTTTTAAAGGTGCTTCTAGATACTGCAAAAATCCACATTTTAAATCTGGGGCAAAATATCCCAAGACCTGACAGCAGGTCCACACACAGACCTATTCGTCCTAGGAAATGCCCCCCCTCCCCCAACCATCATCCTCACATCTTCCTTTGAAGCAGATCAAGATGGAGAGCAGATGGGGGACATCCAGTAGAAGATTTTTAAAAAATTCACTTAGCTATGTGCTGGACCTCATATGCTCACATGCAAATATCTTAATGCAAACACAAGCAGATTTGTATGTGCGCATATGAGGTCCAGGGGATAAATGTGATTTTTAAAAAATCCTAACTTCAGTCAGATCTCTCTCTTCACTCAATTGTTCCTTCAAGCTGTGTTTAATATTATAAAGTTTCAAAGAGTTCTAATTGCTTTCCAATTCCGCTTCTCTTGAGCCAACTGTGTCTCTGTGGCTGCATGTTTTGACAGCCCGATCAGCTGATCAGCTGTTTTGGTTATTAAAATGTGCATGTCCATAGGAGCAGTTCACACAAGGGGGAGGATTGAAAAACACAGGTTCGGCATGACTGCAGGGATATACATTCATGCAAAGGTGCACATTTTTTGGGTGGAACTGGATTTTAAGCACACCTTTTTAACATGTGCTTTTTAGTTGTTAACCCAATTCTGCCTGCACTTTTAACCTGGTTACTTCTGGTTTTTTAGGCATGTGTAGAATAGGCTAGGCACTCGTAAACTGATCAGAATCACTTCCTTTCTGAAAACAAAATAAAATACTTAATGTTTAATTTCAAAGTGGATCCAGTTGTATGTATTGTCGAAGGCTTTCATGGCCAGAATCACTGGGTTTTTGTAGGTTTTTTCAGGCAATATGACCATGTTCTAGAGGCATTTTCTCCTGACGTTTCGCCTGCATCTATAGCAAGCATCCTCAGAGATAGTGAGGTCTATTGGAACTAGGAAAGTGGATTTATATATCTGTGGAATGACCAGGTCGGGGCAAAGAACTCTTGTCTGCTGGAGCTAGGTGTGAATGTTTCAACTGACCACCTTTATTAGCATTTGATGGCCTGGCAGTGCCTGGGGCAATCTTTTGTTGAGAGGTGCGAACCCCACCTCCTCCAAGATGAACTGAACCACCTAAACTGGGCTCTACAGGCCAATGGATACTCCACCTCAGACATCAGAAGAGCTGCAAGACCGAGAACAAGCCGTGAGAGTAAAGACAAATGTTCTTGCCATACATCAAGGGAACCACTGACCGCATAGGAAAGCTGATGAGGAAACACAATATATAAACTATCTACAGACCCACCAAGAAATCTAGTTCCAATAGCCCTCACTACCTCTGAAGATGCTTGCCATAGTTGCAGATGAAATGTCAGGAGAAAATGCCTCTAGAACATGGCCATATAGCCCGAAAAAACCTACAACAACCCACGGATCCAGTTGTGTTTCTTATGCTCTAATGCAGTGCTTCTCAACCTGTGGGTCCCCAGATGTTTTGGCCTTCAACTCCCAGAAATCCTAACAGCTGGTAAGCTGGCTAGGATTTCTGGGAGTGGTGGGCCAAAACACCTGGGGACCCACAGGTTGAGAACTACTGTCCTAATGTATTATTATGCTTAGCAGTAGATGCTAAGGTGTTGAGTAAATATACGGAGAGCCATTTTGGTGCATTAGATGCCTGGTATAAGCTTTAGAGTAGGGAGACTTGAGTCACACTGTCTCAGACTATGGCAATCTGCTCTGAATCTTTCCACAATACACACACACAGTGCATTAGATGGATAGTTTCAGAATTAGATGAAGGCTTTGGGAAGCCAGAGTTACCCTGTCTCAGGCTATTGCACTTCTGAATATACCTTGCCAAAACAAATGGCGAATTACAACTTCAAGACAGAAATTGGGAAGAGGAAACTGAGTGGGACTCTCACAGCATACCAGAGCTTTAGACATGGCTGTTTGCTTCTCCACTTTGGTGGCTCCTTTGCCCTTCCACACATAGATTTTCATCCCACCATGATCCAAAATGTAGCAGTCCTGAGGCACAAAGAAAGGAAACAGTTCAAAGCATTCCACGACTTCTGATCGACTTCATAGCATGGGAAAGGGATGAAAACTAGAAACCCTGAATTTCATCCTTATTATCAAAAAAGCTCCCAGTGGAGCAATGGGTTAAACTCTTGTGCTGGCAGGACTGTTGACCAAAAGGTTGGCGATTCAAATCCGGGGGAGCAAGGGGAGCTCCTGTCTGTCAGCTCCAGCTTCCCGTGTGGGGACATAAGAGAAGCCTCCCACAGGATGGTAAAACATCCCGACGTCCCCTGGGCAACATCCTTGCAGATGGCCAATTCTCTCACACCAGAAGAGACTTGCAGTTTCTCAAGTCACTCCTGACACACACAAAAAAACCAAAACTCTTAAGACAGATATTGAAGGTAAAGCCTGAGCCAGTTGAAATGGCATCAGATAAATGGATGGAGGGGTTATATTCTGTTCATAATTATCTTTTGCAGAGGAAGTCAATGGCAAACATGCTCTGAAGAAATGTTGATAGGTTTGCCTTAAAGTTACCAGAAAGGACATGAAGGCTAGAGCCCGCGGTGGCGCAGTGGGTTAAACCCCTGTGCTGGCAGGACTGAAGACCGATAGGTTGCAGGTTCGAATCCGGGGAGAGGTGGATGAGCTCCCTCTATCAGCTCCAGCTCCTCATGCGGGGACATGAGAGAAGCCTCCCACAAGGATGATAAAAACATCAAATCATCCAGGCATCCCCTGGGCAACATCCTTGCAGACGGGCAATTCTCTCACACCAGAAGCAACTTGCAGTTTCTCAAGTCACTCCTGACACGACAATAATAATGAAGGCTCACAACAGTAACTCAATTATAAGTACCATATATGCTCATGTATAAATCAACCTCCTGTATAAGATGAGAGCAGGTCTGAGAGCGAAAAATATGAATTTCTTTATGAGCTATGGATAAGTCTAGAGTCATTCCACAGAGAGGAGAAAGTATAATGACCTGTGGATAAACCAGCTCAATATTTTAGTGTCAATATTTTTGACTAAAATGTCTAAACTAATATAGGAGTATATACTGTATAGTAGTTACTTCCATATGCTGCACAATACATTGAGGACTTTGAAAAGTCTGTGTTAATTCTACTTCAATTGCTGTACAAAAAATGTTTCAGTTACACTAAGGGATCTTGGCACATTGGCGAGGAGCCCTTTCATTGCTATTTTGGACATGGATTCTTCCAAAGAATCCCACCCAGTGAAACTTAATGAGGGTGCTGAGAATTACCAGAGACCTCGTGCTGCATTACGGAATTGCATTCTTTTTTTTCTGCATGGAGAGAGGATCCAAAGCATAATTTACAAAACATGTATCTTGACAGATGGGAGTGAGCTTTGTGGATTTCAGCCAATATTTTCAGGAAGTCAGGAAGTCAAAGTAAGAAATCGTGGGTGTAATCCATAAAGCCATCATTTTGTAGTACTCCCACAGAGTTTATCTTGATGTCACTGAGCTGTACATTGCAGCTAAGGAGCAACTGAAGAATTACATGGCTTCCAGATGCTATTGGGTCATTGTCCCTGACTCTACTGGCTATCCTGGCTGGGGCTAATAGGAATTGCAGTCCAACAACACCTGAAGAGCCACACATTTTGCTCCCATGAGCAAAGGATTATTGAAAACACAGGTATACCACAACAGCTCTTTCCTCCCCATCTCATACCTTGGGAAGTCTGATCTGGCCACAGTGATCCACACTCTGGTTACATCCCAAATAGATTACTGCACCGCGCTCTACGTAGGGCTGCCTTTGAAGACGGTTCGGAAACTTCAGCTAGTCCAATGGCCGGCAGCCAGATTACTAACCGGGGCGACATACAGGGAGCATACCACCCCCCTGCTCTGCCAGCTCCACTGGCTGCCAGTCCAATCTCTGAGCCCAATTCAAAGTGCTGGTTTTGACCTATAAAGCTCTATACAGTTCTGGCCCAGCTTACTTGTCTGAATGTATCTACCCCTATGTCCCACCTCGTAATCTAAGGTCATCTGGGGAGGCCCTGCTCTCGCTCCCGTCAGCAGCACAAATGCATCTGGCGGGGACGAAAGACAGGGCCTTCTCGGCTGTGGCCCCCCACCTATGGAACATGCTCCCAAATGAGGTAAGATCCGCTCCTTCCCTCCTGGCTTTTAGAAAAAAATTAAAATCATGGCTCTAGGACCAGGCCTTCGGACAGTAGATGTATATAGCATTTTAGAGGGACATTGACTGGAACAGCGATTCGACTGATGAGACTGTTATATTGTTTTAATGCTTGTTGAAGTATTGCTTTAGTTGTGATTTATGTTTAATTGTGGTTTTACTATTGTAATTGTTTGTATTGGCATTGTATCGGTGCCCAACGTAAGGCATCGAATCTTGCCATTATTTATGTGCAAACCACTTTGAGTTCCCCCAGGGGTGAGAAAGGCAGTATATAAATACTGTAAGTAAATAAATAAATAAATCTCAGGCTTACATCATGGCTCAACATGTCCTGAATAAGAGGCCGCTGGGCTTCTTCTGTAACCTCCATTTTCCCTCCTGAATCTGAAACACTAGAAGAGAAAAGGGGAAAGGGAGGTTGTTTAATTTTGAATGGTCAAGTTCAAGGAACGGTGGCAAAATCCTCTTACAACAGTAGTCCTCACCCTGTGGGTCCCCGGGTGTTTTGGCCTACAATTCCCAGAAATCCCAGCCAGTTTACCAGCTGTTAGGATTTCTGGGAGTTGAAGGCCAAAACATCTGGGGACCCACAGGGAGAGATCCACTTCCTTACCATTTCTTCTAAAATTCCTCCAAATGTTTACTTGTGCATCTTCAAGTTTTTTTAGTGACCTGTTCATAATTCAATGATGACAGCAATAATAAGTATGGTGATTTGATTTTTGGGTTCTGTTTCAAACCTTGTTTTTCTTGTTCATGCCAACATGACAATTGTACGAGCCTATACCTCTGTACACTAGATCATTCTCAGAACTTGGGAAAGGCTAATGTTTGGACTATAACTCTCAATATCCTCAAGCCAGTGTGATCAAGACTGTGACATTATCATCCAAAGAGCAAATTTTCCAAGCTTTTATCACATCCCTGCCATTACTGGCATCAATGGCAACAGCATCCCTGCCATTACTGGCATCAATGGCAACTCCACCCACCGATAGAGCGAGATTTGCATCTTCTGCTGCTGGTCCACCACCTCATCAGGAACAGCAGATTTGATGTGACGGGGCCTTTCTCCAAGTTCACTCTCCAACACCTTCATTAAATCTGGGCTGGCTTTTTCCTCATCGCCCTCCACGATGCCAATCTCAGCCCGACCTCCACGCTCCCTGTCACGGATATCCTTCGCAAGGAGCATCCCCTAAGAAAGAAGAAGGTGGCATTTGCAGCATTGGAACACGAGCCTTACGCCAAGCTGAGAACATTAATCGGTTGAAGCCAATATTGTTCACAATTAGAGTTGAGCAGTAAACAGATAAAAGCTTCAGATGGGGATTGAACCTGGGACCTCCTTTATGCACAGCATGTCCTATACTACTGGCCCATCTCTTTACAAGCATGTCTACAGTCAATTTGACATATTTGTGGGTTTGACTCTTGGAGATGTTATTAATCATGGATTTGATTTAAATGGTTCCTCTAGGAATCTTTAAGTCCTAGAGAGATTCTGTGGTTTGCTTCCTCAAAGACATAGGACCCTTCCAGACAGACCCTATATCCCAGGATCTGATCCCAGGTTTTCTGCTTTAAATTGGATTATATGCGCCCACACTGCCAGATAATCTGGGATAAATAGAAAGCCTAGGATTAGTTCCTGGGATATAGGGCCTGTCTGGAAGGACCCTTAGAGAGTCCTTGAAAGATTTTTTTTCTCAAGTAAAGAAACAGCTATTTTTAAATTCACAATTTTCCACTTTCACTGAGGTTCTGGGCCCCTAACCCCTGGTGGCGCAGTGGGTTAAACCACTGAGCTGCTAAGCTTGGTCGCAGGGTCGAATCCAGGGAGCGGCGTGAGCTTCCGCTGTCAGCCCCAGCTTCTGCCAACCTAGCAGTTCGAAAACATGCAAATGTGAGTAGATCAATAGGTACTGCTCTGGTGGGAAGGTAACGGCACTCCATGCAGTCATGTTGGACATATGACCTTGGAGGTGTGTGTCTATGGACAACGCTGACTGTTTGTCTTAGAAATGGAGACTAGCACCACAGCCCAGAGTCTGTAAAGACTGGACTTAATGTCAGGGGGGAAACTTTTAATTTCTCACTTCTTGTTTTTGTTTAACCATCTGAGGGTCAGTCAATATGATCTAATTTACCCACAAGGAAGTATATAAAATAACAATAATAGTGGTGAGCTGCTAATCCAAATAATAAATCATGCTGAAAAAACCCTGTGACGCCGTTAGCGTAAGTCAAAGTTATCTTGACCACACATAACAACACAACCAGAGGCTCTATGCGCCTATATATTGGTTTCTGGAGAACATGTTGGAGAAGATGTTACTTTGCTCTGGGTTGTTGTAAGTTTTTAGGGCTGTATGGCCATGTTCCAGAAGCATTCTCCCCTGACGTTTCGTCTGCACCTATGGCAGTTGTGAGGACTGTTGGAAACTAGGAAAATTGAGTTTATATAGCTGTGGGACCCCATTTTCCTAGTTTCCAACAGACCTCTCAATCTCGGAGGATGCCTGTTATAGATGCAGGTGAAACGTCAGGAGAGATGCTTCTAGAACATGGCCACACAGCCCCAAAAACTCACAGCAACTCAGTGATTCCAGACATGAAAGCCTTTGACAATACATTACTTTGCTCTCTTCCTCCTCTTGGGCTTCCTTATCCAACAGGGAAGTGTGGGAAGAGAATGTTGTAGGGACGGGTCTCTAATCTGATCCAGCAGGGCTCTTTCAACACTAAGATTTATTGGAGAAATTTTTCACTTCTACAGAAAGAAGCCCTTCTCTATGGCAAATAGTAAGGAAGACTAGGATATGGGACAATGAAAAGAATTAAAACTTTTAATAAAGAAAAGAAAACAGCATCCAACTACTCCCATGTTCTACAGAGAACACAAAAACTCAAGGGAGTTGTGCGCATACACATAAACAGTGCCTTGGCCCTCAGCTGAACCCGCACCTTCATACGTTCCTGCTTGTTGCTCTCGGGCCCATTCCACTGAATGATGATTTTGCCCAGATCCAGCAGGAACACATCACCATTGTTGAAGCTTTCCCAGCTCATCTCCACCTACAGAGGTTGGGGGTGCAAGATCGGATGTAAACAGAAAAAGATAAGCAGTGAAAGGCTTGGAAGCAACCAGGGTCAGATCAATGGTTTCAGACAGTCATCCTCCACTCTCTCCAGAAGAACATTGTCTGGTGAGGTGAGAAGACAGAGGGCTAGGTTCAAGCTCACCTCCGCAGCTGTGACATTCCTCTTGCCTTTGACATGCAGCAGCCGCTTGACATTGTAAGTATTAGTCTCCACGTGGTTCAGTCCAGAGGCAACACCCCCTTTCTTGTAGCTGTTTCGATGCAAGGAGAGGAGAGGACATGAGAGCCGGACAAAATGGGCAACTTTGTGCTACTAGAATGGAGGGTACATTTACACTGTAGAATTAGTGCAGTTTGACAGTGCTCTAACTGCTATGGCTCAATGCCATGGAATCCTGGGAGCTGTAGTTGGTGAGGCACCAGCACTCTTTGACACAGAAGGCTATAAACCTTTATGACTACGAACCTCACCACACTAGAGCAGCGTTTCTCAACTGGGGGTCGGGACCCCTGGAGGGGTCACCAGGGGGTGTCAGAGGGGTCAGCAAAGACCATCAGAAAACACAGTATTTTCTGTTGGTCTTGGGGATTCTGTGTGGGAAGCTTAGCCCAATTCTATCGTTAGTTGGGTTCAAAATGCTCTTTGATTGTAGGTGAACTATAAATTACAGTAACTACAACTTCCAAATGTCAAGGTCTATTTTCCCCAAAAACGACCAATGTTCACATTTGGGCATATTGAGTATTTGTGCCTAGTTTGGTCCAGATCCATCATTGTTTTGAGTCCACAGAGCTCTCTGGAGGTAGGTGAACTACAACTCCAAAACTCAAGGTCAGTGTCCACTAATGTCCTTCCAGTCTTTTATGGTGGTCATGGGAGTTCTGTGTGCCAAGTTTGGTTCAATTCCATCGTTGGTGATGTTCAAAATGCTCTTTGATTTCAAGTGAACTATAAATCCCAGCAATTACAACTCCCAAATGACACAATCAATCCCCAACCCCACCAGTATTCAAATTTGGGAGTATGGGGTATTTGTGCCAAATTTTGTGCATTGAATGAAAATTTATCTTGCATATCAGATATTTACATTACGATTCATAACAGTAGCAAAAATAGTTTTATGTTGGGAGTCAACACAACATGGGGAACTATATTAAGGGGTCATGACATTAGAAGGGTTGAGAACCACTGCACTAGAGCATGGATCCAGTTTAAATCCAATTCTGGGGTTCCTAGTTTACTGCAATCAGATTTAAAGTGGATCTGTGCTCAAGTGTGATGAGGTCCTCCTAAAACTGCATAGTATTGAGCCATCCTGTATACAAACTGCATTAATTTCATAGTTTAGATGCCTAGATTCACAAGGGGGTTTCAGAGGGGTCACCAAAGACCATCAGAAAACACATATTTGTGATGGTCTTAAGAGCCCCTTTGGCAGAGAAGGATGAAGATCTGTCTGTCCTTCTCTTCCTTTTGGAAACAGACTTTGAATCCTCCCACCAAAAGCCTGCTGTGATTGGCCGGCTTCTCCAAGCGATGAGGGAAGAGCAGGTGTGCTCAGCACATGGCAGTGTGGCGCGCATGTGCAGATGAGAGAAAGTGTGCGAGGCTGGAGGGAGGATCACGTCCCTTCAAGGCAGGGGGGAAAGTGCCCTTTGATTGTAGGTTAACTATAGATCCTAGCAACTACCAAATGACCAAGTCAATCCCCCTCAACCCCACCAGTATCCAAATTCGGGCATATCAGGTATTTGTGCCAAATTAAGACCAGTGACTGAAAATACATCCTGCATATCAGATAGTTACATTACTATTAATAACAGTAGCAAAATTTCAGATATGAAGTAGCAACAAAAATAATTTTATGGTTGGGGGTCACCACAACATGAGGAACTCTATTAAGTGGTCACGCATTAGGAAGATTGAAAATCACTGCCCTTAAGGAATAAATTTCAGGCTTCAGGGAATCACTGATTATATTTACTGCTAAAGAAAAAAATGTCTTTCTGTCATAATGTTTCCACGATTGTAGAAGCCCAGAGTACTGGGGAACCCTGGATGAAAAATCATGACTTAATAAGCATAGAAAATAACACCCTATAGGCCACTAGATTCTCAACAGAGGTTTTGTGCTCTATCGCCATCTGGTGGTTTTGTGCTCTATTGCCATCTAGTGGTTTTGTGCTTTATTGCCATCTAGTGCTGGTACAGGAGAATGCAGACAGAAGGCACAGTGGGCACCTTCCTTCTTAGAATCATAGAATCAATGAGTTGAAAGAGACCTCATGGGCGATCCAGCATTTGCATTCAAGTCACCCCTGACAGATGGCCATCCAGCCCCAAATTTTCTTTAACAAAAGAACTCATACCTTCTGACATTTCACAAAGGAAACTCACAGTGTCTCTGTTTTTAGGATCATTTTGCAAGCCCACTGCTTTGTGATTACCCCCTGAAAATGGGTCTAAAAACAAGATTGTCAGATTGTATTAGTCACCAGCTTGACCTGGTGGCAGACTTTGTCTGTTTCAGGGGTCCTTTGCCAGAAATAAAGAAGAAGAAAAGGAAAGAGAGAAGCAAAAGGGGAAAGCTCACTGGAGCATATATGGAAGTGAAGTAGACTGTTAGTTGTTCATCATTGTGTTTCTGTTGCCAAAGAGGTGGGAGGATAGGTGCTTGTGAGATGCTCCATCTGTCCATGTAGAAATGTTGAATCTGGGAAAGAGTTATTTCTGGACAGGAATGTCTACTTTGCCCACCACTAATTCCTCTCCCAATGACACAGTGAAGTAATGGTAAAGGGCTAGTTACACACCTAACAGTGTAGATTATATGTAAAATCTTGGGCCCTTCCACACAGCCCTATATTCCAAAATATCAAGAAAAACCCACAATATCTGCTTTGAACTGGGTTATTTGAGTCCACACTCAGATATTGTGGACTTTTCTGCCTTGATATTCTGGGATATAGGGCTGTGTGGAAGGTCCCTAAGTCCACACTGCCATATATTCCAGTTCAAAGCAGATATTGTGGGATTTTATTCAGCTCTGTGGAAGGGGCCTTGGAATAAAAGGTAAAGGGTTTTATAACAGATTTGAAGAAACCAAACACACTGCAAATGGATCATCATGCATCAGCTTTAAAGTGTCTATGAGGTGAGTGCAACTATTTTAGTCTATTTTGACAAGCTCTGGGTCTACTTTTTTATGAGCAACCTATGGAGATCCACACAGAGGATTTGGGGACATATTCTGGTATATTACACTATACAACATGGTTTTTGTTCCTGGGTTAAAATGTTATTTCTTAATTGGTTCTCGCATAAGAACATGGAACAAGTTTATTAAACTGCAAAAACTTTGTTCTTTCGGGACATCCTGCAGCTCATTTTGCTACAGTTTTTCAATGAATATCTCATTGAGTCTCAACCAATTCAACATAGTTTATGGCAGCCGGAAAAACGAAGTTTCTGGAGTAGAACAACTACATTCAAAGTAAGTACTACACAATTAAACAGGAAATAACACTTTCAAATTTTTTCAAATGTTGTTACGGTTTGCTCGAGGCACACCTGCAAAGGCCTTAAAGCACACCCAGAACTTCTGTGAAGCAACTAGTTCCAGGGAAAGATGGATAATAGGGAGCCAATTTGTGTTTTGGGAAAACATGCCTATCTTTAGCAACATTTTCTCTGTGGAACTCTTGACAGATTTCTGATGAACCTGAGGGTTCCCTAGAAAACCATTGAAATAGTCTTATGTAATTACGAGGACTTGCGTGTATGCCTGCTACATGATACAAACTGCTTTCGAGGACAAACAGATTTGCGATAACAGCCTTGCATTATTTATCATGATGTATTGACAAGCAATCTGAAACGATCTTATAATGCGCTTGGTCTGTAACAGTGTAAGCCTTTTTAAGAATCCTCTCCCAACCACTGGTGCTCTGCTGATCCGGAATGAGGGGCCCCTGGGCGAAGACACTTCCGGCACCCTCCTGCCTGGCAGGACTACATCTGTTGGAGAATTCACCTCCCATGTGTCTGCCTGTCTGTTTTTATGACCCCCAATTACATTTGCATGTCCTGCTTTTCCATGGCGTACGTGACTAAAGGCCATGCTCCATCTCCTTTGAAATAGAAGAATTATAAGCTGTTTTGTATTGGGTTGCTGTGAGTTTTCTGGGCTGTATGGCCATGTTCCAGAAGCATTCTCTCCTGACGTTTCACCCACATCTATGTTAGGCATCCTCAGAAGTTGTGAGGTCTGTTGGAAACTAGGCAAGTGGGGTTTATATATGTGTGGACTGCCCAAGGTATGAGAAAGAACTTGTGCCTGCTTGAGGCAGGTGTGACTGCTGCAACTGGCCACCTTGATTAGCATTGAATGGCCTTGCAGCTTCAAAGTGTGGCTGCTTCCTGCCTTGAGGATTCCTTTTGTTGGGAGGTGTTAGCTGGCCATGATAATTTCCTGTCTGGAATTCCCCTCTTTTCTGAGTGTTGTTCTTTATTTACTATCCTGATTTTAGAAATTTTAATACGCATTTTTCTTCCGCTCCCATCTCTGTCGTGTCAACCCAATATCTCTCTACCTCTCACCAGGCATGTAGCTGGGGGGGGCTTGAGGGGCTTCAGCCCCCCCCCCCCCGAAATTCTCATGGTGGTCCACGAGAAGGCCTTACTGGTACATTATTTAAACTGTTATGTTTATTCATATCATGATCTGATCACCATGCTCAATATATCCCATATGCATGGGGTATTGGGGTAACGATACAAAAGGTTTGCTAGGGTAGACCCTCTTTTACTCAGACTCACCCCCCCCCCCCCGAATCAAAATCCTGGCTACGGGCCTGCCTCTCACCCAGATGTTTTGTCCTAGCGATGCTTACCTATCCCAAATTCCTTCACTCTTTCTCCTTTTTGCTCCTTCTTGCTCCCTCCTCCTTTTTCTTTAACACATTCTAACTTCTTCCCTGTGTAGTGAACTTTACATTTGCTGATCCCAACATCAGTCCTCAGTGAGTGTGTCTCTTTGTATGTTAATATCTTCATGTTTGTTTTACCCCTTTGCATGATGATCTAGCTGACCAGGTGAGATTTCTCTGCTTTTGGTTCACCGTGGACTCTTCCACACAACCATTTAGCCCAGAATATCAAGGGAGGAATTCCCACAATATCTGCTTTGAACTGGAGTATATGGCAGTGTGAACTCAGATAACCCAGTTCAAAGCAGATATCGTGGGATTGCCTGCCTTGATATTCTGGGTTATATGGCTGTGTGGTAGGGCCCCATTTCAGAGGACATCCTATTTTAATCCTCATTTTATTGGACTTACAATATATCTTCTACCTGGAATTGATCTACCTAAACAGGTTGAGCCTGTGTGATGACTTACACAAGGTTTTGTAAGTAAAATTCTTTAAATCCCATCAATTTAGCTGATATTGTTTAATTTTGGTCTCTGCTACTTGCTATTTTTTTAATCAGTGGGAGAAAGCGGGAATACTGGAACATTTTAAAGCTTATTCTATATAGTCTACCATTTATATTTTGTGGGTCTTTGTTTACTCTGCTAATTTATGCCAAATAAAGAGAGTGTATTTTGATTCAAACGAATAAAAGGCAACTTTGGTCAAAGAGCCAGATATATTGTTGAAAGTTTTCATGGCTGGAATCACTGGGTTGCTGTGAGTTTTTCGGGCTGTATGGCCATGTTCCAGTAGCATTTTCTCCTGACATTTCCCCTGCATCTGTGGCTGGGATTTTCAGAGTTTCTGTTGGCAGTGAGGCAAGTGGAGTCTCTCTCTCTCTCTCTCTCTCTATATATATATATATATATCTTTTGCCACATTGACCCCACTCTCATGTTGCTTATACAAATGTGTCCTATTCTTCATAGTGTTTCCATAACAGATTAGTAACTGGAAGCCTTTGGGCAGAGGCTAGACAACCATCTGTGAATAAGGCTGAAGTTCTCATTTCCAGCATGGAGCAGGAAAGTTCAATATAGTCTCCTCCAAATCCATGGTCCTGTGAATCTCCCTAACATCTCCAGTTTTAGAATTTGACGTGACATCTCTGTGTGTTTCCCTTTTCTTCTGAGTTTTCTTTTGCCCCATACTCACATGACACCTTGCTTGAAGTAGCCCTTGAATTGCTCAGACTCATAGCCCTGCACTTCTCGGTGTTGTACTGGGACTCCTCCAAGGTAGTCATCCAGCTGGGTGGTGTAGATGGCAGCGCAGCCCTGCTCATCTTTTGATGAGTGTTTCCCAATCCAGTAGTGGACATCGTAGGTCATGGCAGTGCCTGATTTACGGGTCTGAGAGAGGGACAAAGATCAGGGGAGAAAGGAAGATAAGTTGAGGAAAAAACTCAGTGGAGTTTAAGGATAGTGTCAGCTAGTGGCTTCAGGTTTACACAGTCATAAAAATCCAGATTATCTGCTTTGAACTGGATTATATGGCAGTGTAGACACATATAATCCACTTCAAAGCAGATAATGTGGATTATCTGCTTTGATAATCTTGATTATATGGCAGTGTAGAAGGGACCTCAGTGGGACAATGAATCTGCTCCATGTTTTAGTGCAAACCTTAAAGGACATATTGAAGGTGCTGAACCTGACTCCAAAACAGGTTGAATGCCTGAATTGATTCAGACTGAAACCCAGAGTATAGTCACTACTCTTATACTAACCTTAATCAATAGCCAAGGATGTCAAAAACACCCTGTTACTTCCATGTTGTTGCTATTAATGGCCATCAGTATTTTGTTTTGTTTTTCTGTATCAGGTGCAACTTGAGAAACTTCAAGTCGCTTCTGGTGTGAGAGAATTGGCCACCTGCAAGGACTTGCCCAAGGGACACCCAGATGTTTTACCATCCTATGGAGGGTTTCTCTCATGTCCCTGCATGAGAAGCTGGAGCCGACAAAGGGGAGCTCACCCCGCTCCCCAGATTTGAACCACAGACTTTTCGGTCAGCAGTCCTGCCTGCACAAGGGTTTAACTCATTGCACCACCTGGGACTTGAGCAGTAGCTAGTTAACTCAACAGTTGTCACCCTCAGGCATGTACAGGGCTATTTGTATACACCATGTCACATCATTTACTGCACCCCATGGATCATATTCTAGTAGAGATACTGATCCTGGAAGCCTAGGTAAGTTGTGAGAATTATAGAATAACTATTAGCTTTTCTGAGGGTGTAGTAGAGGTCACAGAAGCTCTACCTTTTGCCTAATTTCCTGCCACACAAATGGACTTGGTCCTCATTCTGTTAATGTGTAGGTCACTGAGTAAATCTTGAGTGTTTCCTGTCATGCTCCCTAAAATAGGAACTGTAGTAATCAATTCTACATCATCCAAAAGGATTAATTCAAACTTAGGAAAGTAATTTGGGGGGGGGGGGAGCAGGGACAAATCATGTCAAACTGTTGTATCACGAAAGCAGCAGAAATCTCCAACAGAACAAGTTTTTTCAGGGACTTACTGAGAGAAGAACATAGCAATCCCCTTCATAGAAGCTGCCATGGGCTTTTGAAGGTACCAGTACTAGATCCATTTTCTGCAAAGAAGAAAATGCAGTTAAAAGAATAGCTAAACTCACTAACTTAATTGACTGTCTGCCCCAGCTAGAGCTGATGTTGCCAATCTCCGATTTGCGGTGACACTTTCCTAGTGTTTTCATGACAAGGTTTATTCAGAGGTACATTTGCCCTTGACTTCCTCTGAGGCTGAGCAAGAGTAACTTGTCTAAGGGCATCCATATGTTTTCATGGCAGAGCAAGGATTAAAACCCTGGTCTTCCAGAATCATAGCCCAATATTCAGATCACTGCACCATGGATGTTAAGAGTAGACTCATGAAGCCAAACATTTCCCACTCTAGCTTTAAGACTTCTATTGGTGATATCAATAGACATACTTGGGACTAGATGGACCATCTGGTTCAGTGGTTACCAGACTTTGGTCCTCCGGGTGTTTTGGACTTCAACTCCTACAATTCCTAAAGCTCGCTGGGATTTCTGGGAGCTGAAGTGCAAAACGCCTGGAGGACCAAAAGTCTTCTAACCCTCCCCGTCATCTATTATTTACTTATTTACCACATTTGTACCCCACCCTTCTCAACTCCGAGGAGGACTAAGAGTGGCCTCACATCTCGGCAACAATTCAGTGCCTTAAAATATCATACAATTGATAAACATTTAGTTTAAAAAACAAAGAATTAAAAACATCTAAAGCAATTACATCAATTATTAAGTTCATAATCTTAGGTCATAATCCAGGGTCATTCCAGTTGTCACTGCATAGATTCTATATTCATTTATTGCACTGCAGTTATTCTCCAAAAGCTTGGTCTTGTAGCCATGTTTTTACTTTCTTTATGAAGTCTAGGAAGGAAGGAGCTGATCAAATGTCACTGGGGAGGAAGTTCCATAGTGAGAAGGCCCTGTCTCTTGTCCCCACCAACTGCGCCTGAGAAGCAGGTGAGACTGAGAGCAGGGCCTCCCCAAAGATCGTATTCTCCGCAATGGTTCATAAAGGGGGATACGTTCAGACAGAAAAGCTGGGCCAGAACCGTTTAGGGCTTTATAGGCTAAAACCAGCACATTAATTGTGGTGATTGAAAACCACTAATCTAGTTGAACTGACATTAAGACACTGTACTAACTCCAATTGTTAATCTCAACTAGAACAGATACATTAAATCAATAGGGCTTGCATAAACGTGGGGTTTCAAAGTCCCAAACAATCAGTGGAGGGACTAACCCTAGATGGAACTAACAATTGGACAACATCCACTGAAAAGCAAAACTTTTTTGTTAGACCCAGGAAGTGCAAATATAGCCATTGGAGGGGAAGGGGAAGCCATAGAGCTCCTCAACCTTGAAAAGTAGAGTACACTTGCTGAAATTACCTCTTCCGCACAACTATGAAAGGTGCAGGAGGTGTTATCAATTAATTCTGTAAGTAAAGTCTATAAATTAATTCTTACAGCACAATCCATATAGCACAAGTCCATATGCATTTTATAATTTTTGCTGTTGTAAGAGCCAGTATAGTGTATAGAGGTTTGCATCTTGGAACAGGAAGAAAGGGCTCGAATCTTTGTTTAGCCATAAAAACCTTGCCATCAGGCATGTTACGATATCTCAGAACATAGTGTGAATTATTTTTAGACATGACCAAAATTAGCAGTTAGGAATAAGTAAAGAGATGGTGACACCTGGCCCTGACATAGCTTGAGAGAAGAGGAAAGCAGCTTTTAGTTTAGCATAGTGAGAAATGCATTTACTGTACCTCAATCCTCCAGATGATCAGTCCAGGTGTGTTCGTAACAGCTTTGAAGGCACTGGTCAGAGCCATGGCAGCTTCCAGATTTTGAATATTCAACAATACCTGCCAAAGCCAGAAGAAACAGCCCAGGGAAGAAATTCAAGAAACAGCATACAGGTAACAAAGTTTGAAACACAATCCAAAATATTTTGCCTTGGGTGCTAATCTCACAAACTCTTCCAGTGGAGGCATCCACAAAATGTTGTTTTTAAATGCTGTTGCCTTATTTATCAAGTTGCCCCCTGATATCTTTTATGACTACATCTGCAAATATGTGTGGCTTCTTCTGATTCGCCCAATGTTTCTAAAAAGTCCATACATTCCTATTGTGTTTCATTTTTTTGTGAATCGAGACATTATTCTTCCATTGGGAGATACTCTCATTGTTTGCATTTTGATAAAGGAAGGTAGCCAGTTCTCAGTAACATGGATACCTGTAAAGAAAGCACATCCCTTCAAAGGCACACAGTCTATCTTCTATGTGTGAATAGTGACCAACACTCACATACAAGGTTTCTACAGCAAACCATATATTGTATCTAGTATGCACACAGCACATAGAGATACACTGGAATAGGTACTCCTTCCTTCCTATGAGGAAAAGCCTGCATATTTGTCAGCTTCAACTAGTCATAATGAGAAGGACTTTTGCTATTGCAGGATTTTTTTGGACCATAACTCGCAGAATCCCCCAGCCAGCATCTCCTCTCTCTCAAAGCTCCCTAAACACTTATTATATTAAAATTAATGGGTGAGTCCATGCAAATAGAAGAGGTCCAAGCTCTGAAGTCTAGTTTGTAATGGTTAGGAGCATAAAACTGAGGGGAAACACTAATATTAAAAAGCTATTTTTCAACCTGAGGGAACATCTCTCTAAGAATCTCTAGGTTCCCCAGCATAGCATTATGGTCAACATCCACCAGAGGTTGATCACAGAGTCAAAAGCATAGCAAAGCTTTTTCTCCAATAATCTGTGGGTCAACTCTATAATCAACTTCTGGCAGTCATGCTGGAAAACCTGGAAACCCCTAGAGAGAACATATTAATAAAATCAATGAATAGTCAAATCCACAGATGTTAAACCTGCAAATGGGACGGACCCAACTGTATTTTGTTCTATGCCAAGGACAGAGAACCTGTGTGATTGGACTACTATTCCTGTTACGTCCCACAATGGGCTGTAATTGATGATGGTTTGAGTCCTCTGAAATACCAAATGAACAACTGATGCAACAGAGAAAACTATATCCTCTACTCCTAAGCATGGGATTGTCCAGCCTCTGCTAATGGACATCCTCAAAGCCAGTTCAGTTGTGAAGTGTTCAAAATCACCAAAAATCACTTTGGATCTCATATTTGGAGAAAGGTGGTGAAAGGGTGAGACAGTGGGCCTGCTGAAGCAGTGCTTCTTGACCTGTGGCTCTCCAGGTGTTTTGAACACAACTCTCAGAAATCCTAGGCAGTTTACAGCTGTTAGGATTTATGGGGGTTGAAGGTCAAAACATCTGGAGACCCACAGGTTGAGAACCACTAGGCTGGAGCTTGATTCCAGGACACACACACACTCACCCTGTCCATGGATACCAAAAGTCATGGATGCTCATGTCCTAGCATATGTAAAGGTGTCCCTTATATGAAATTGTAACACAAAGGCTTACCTTTTGAAATTAAAAAAATCAAGCTGTGGGTGGCTGAATCTGTAGATACAGATGCCAACTGTATTAATTCATTGTCGTTAATTATTGTTCACAGGGAGCTTGAGAGATGACCTGTTCGTGTCTTCTTCTAATTAACTAGGGGCTTAATCTATCTGCTAGTCTCAACTGGAGTAGACCTACCAAAACAAATGGCTTTCCATAAGGTTGATCCAACTAACGAGTCTGTTAATTAGATTTAAGCCTTGGCAATCCAGATACATCTCGTTATCTGCACAGTCTGAAGATCACATCTTCAGAAGCAGATAATCAGCACATTTGCTTTGTGCATAGACTATGAAAGCACCACACTGCCAAAGCTGAGTTGAGACAATTCCTTGGATGATTTATTTATTAACTGGCTTACTTAGCTCCTGCTTAGTTGGCGAGAGCAAATACGCAGTCCTTATTGCTTCCCTTTCCAGTCTGGTTGTGGCCTCCTCTCATGACATTTCTCATGGGCAATTGCCCAGGATGAAAGGGAAGAGTGGGAGTAGCATTGCCAGGTGAGAGCTCTCAGCCTATGAAATTTCCAAAACAAGAGACCTAGGGACAACTCCTTAAAATGTGAGGAAGTAAGCCATGGTGAAAGAGGGTGTTACAAGATATAGTCCTGGTGATGGCAGTCAGCATGATACATGAAGCACCAACCAGAGTTATATGAAATGTTAAGAAGTCTAAAAAGGAAGAATATATATCTATATTGAAACACCTTTCAAGGCAGTACACTCACCCTGAGATTCCTCCTTTTGCCCTGAACACTGGAGAAAAGGGGCCAGATGGCAAAATACACTAAGCCCAGGTGGAATGCTGCTAGGATGCATTGTCAAAGCAGGGAGAAGTATGCTTGCTACTGAATTAAACAATAGTATATCAGCAGCTTCATTTTGCTGTGTACCACAGATCCAGAGCTTGGGAATGTCACTCCTTTGAAATAAAGCTAGGCTGACAAATTCTAGGAGTCACTACCCAAAAACAACTTTCCCAACGTATGTATATACTTTATTTACAGGATCAAGCTCTAAACTTGCTTTTAGCCATGGAACATTTCGCCTTATTCGGTGCCCTGCAAGTATGCCACCAATAATAGGAGTTAAAGCCCACATATTGAGTAAGACAAGGCTAGGGCTGATGTTCTTATTAATTTTGGGTCTGCACCCCATGTGCAGAAACCTATTGCCAGCACATGGGGTGCAGACTCAAAATTAATAAGAACATCAGCCCTAGCCTTGCCGGGTATGCCTGTCCTGTCTGGCATAGCATCGAACTAAACATGCAGAATAATCACAGGATGTCTTAAACCTACACCTGCTCATAAACTCTACAAGCTAGCTTGCACTGTCCCCCCTGATATGCAATGGGAAGTTGATGCTAAATGTAAGAGAAATAAGGTTGAACACTGTGAAAGCCATCCACTGCATGGCTACCAGTCTCCTCCCAGTAGACCCAAATCAAGGAAAAGCTTTATGAGAACTACCACTCCTCCTGGCGTCCCCCCAGCAACAAGGGTATCCCTCTGGACAGCTAAACTAGGAAATCCCAACTGGATGCCCACCCCCGCCTCCCACGAGGGTCTTCCTCCAGGGGCAAGCCAAGAATGGGCAACTTGGAAGTCCCTGAAAAGACCCAGAAGTTGAGTTGGCAGATCAAAAGACAACCTGGCAAAATGGAACTCCCTAAAAGAATCCCACACCTTGTGTGACTGTGGAGCAGAACAGACAACTCTGCATCTGTATGCTTGTCCACTATGCCCTGGCTCATGTACAGAGGAAGATTGTTGGGAGGCTACAGACAATGCCATTGCTGTAGCCCATTTTTGGTCAAAAGATATTTAGCTGTCTGCGCTCCTTCTATTTTTATCAGTTTTATACTAATTTATGCAATGCTTTTGATACAAAATAAATAAATAGCCCACATATTGTTGTTATGAGACTTCAAGTTGTTTCCATCCTATGGCGGCCCTACAGTGGCCCTATCACAAAGTTTTATTATCCGTACCCTCCAATATTTCACAGATAAAATTGGGACATGTAAAAAAAAAATCCAAGTGTGGTCAGGATGACAAAAATTATAAATGAGAAAGAAAACACAAACTAGGCAATAGTAGTTTGTTTCTGCCTGTTTACCTTTCTCCTCTTCTCCCTACTGAGCAGAAATCAAAGTACTTTTGCATTTTGGATGCAATCTGAAGTAATTAAAATAAGCTGGGACAAAGGGTGGAAATGGTAGGAGAGGAGAGGAGAACTGGGATATTTTAGAAGCAGATGGAAAAGTGGGACAATAGAGGATTAATTGGGATTTTCCCAACCAGATCAGGACAGTTGGAAGATGTGCTAGCTGCAAGACATGATGCTGCCATAGACAGTGTACAAGATTAATAGGGGATGTACTTTCTGCCACCAACAAATCTTAGTTAGTCAACTCTGTGTGTGAGGGCACAGGGGAGAAAGGAGACATCCTCCAGCCCCACCTCTTTTTGGAAAAGTCATTAGGTCTCAAGAGGGTTCTGTGTACCAGCCTCATTGCATAGATAGTGAGCCTCCTTGCTTGGTTTTACAACTGGCATCCTCATCAGTAAACACAGAGATACATACTTATGTCACATCGAAGGCTGGCACAAGTAGGTACTTACAAATCTCCCGTGAAGATGTAGCTGCTCGCTGCTATTACTGCCTTCTCTTTAATGCAGCCAGGAGAAGCAAGGCATTCTGGGATCCCCAACGTGTGGGCAGGCTGAGAGCAGCCTGGCCCATAAAAGCTTCCTCCTTCCACCCTTCTCAGCTATACCCCCCAATTGCTCCATCATTGAAACCAGATGGTGGGGTTTAATGAGAGAAACAGGGCAGCCTGTAGACTCTTGCTCAAGACTTGGAGGCATCCCAAAGGCTGGGATTGATTAGCCAGCAACAGGCAGGATTGAGTCTGCCTCAATTCCACCGAAAGAAACCACTGTCTCTTTGGACTTTACATTGGGAAAAAAATGCTTCTTCCTTTCCTCTCATCATCAGGAGAAGGGGTCTAAAAACGCTTGATATGCTGGACATCTACCACTTTGACAAACTGGAGGGGAACATATTTTCACTGTGTACCAAAACTTATTGGAGATCAACAAAAGCATTTGGGATATGATTTCATTGCAAAGTTTTCTCTAAGCAAGCGAGCTCTGGAAAGGTTGCTGCTGCAAGGGAAACACCCATGGAAAAGTTGACACCAGAATGGGAAATGATCCGTTGTGGGATCTTAAGGAAAGATACTCAAGTAAGTCACTAGAGATTTTTACTGGTTGTTTGTGGATCCTTTAAATATATCCTCACATAAAGTTGCAAAAACAATTGCTTTGGTATCCTCAATCTAGACAGTCTGTGTGGTATAGTTCTAACATTTAGGGTTACCAGATCTTAGGTCTGGCCCTCAGTCTCCAGTTTTCAAGGGTCCCCAATCCATATAGCCTTCAGATGTGATCCCAACACAAAGCTGTGCTGAGCTTGATAGTGATGAGGCTCCCAATCCATTTCCAGGCCTGTTTGATCCCATTACAATCCACACAGAAAGGACAATGGGTGGTTTGGGATGTGCCTTCAGAGCCAACCATGTCATGATGTTGGAAATTACTCTCCTGTTCTCTTCTTATAATTCAAATGTATGAGATGTATGAGATGTTCTGTATCCAAGTGCCCATTGATATCCAGCAAAAGAGGTAGTGCTTCTAATGAGTACATTCAAGGCAGAATGCATCAATGAAAAATGTACATTAATAATATATCCCTAAATGTAGAAACATTTTTGTTCTAAAACCCAAGGATTTTTTAAAAAATCGATTATATCTACAATTAACAACAATCTTTGTTTTTGTTTTGTTTGTTTTTTTGTCGTGTCAGGAGCGACTTGAGAAACTGCAAGTCGCTTCTGGTATGAGAGAATTGGCCATCTGCAAGGACGTTGCCCAGGGGATGCCCGGATGATTTGATGTTTTTATCATCCTTGTGGGAGGCTTTTCTCATGTCCCTGTATGAGGAGCTGGAGCTGATAGAGGGAGCTCATCCGCTTCTCCCCGGATTCGAACCTGCGACCTGTCTGTCTTCAGTCCTGCCGGCACAGTGGTTTAACTCACTACACCACCGGGGGCTCCAATCTTTGTATTGATCTACTACAATGTAGCCTCACCTAGATATTACATCTAAGAGTGAAAGCCTTCTCCATCATGGCACCCAGGACAATGAGCTACACAGAGCATAATATAGTGGCTGCAGAAGTCCACTGGGGCTTTTGGGAAAGCAGAAAGCAGTTTCTCCATGGGTAAGAGGGATTACTTCTAGTTTGATAGCCAACCAGCCCTCTTAGAAGACCTAAATAACTCTTTCCTCCCTATTCTGTTTGAGAGGGGTACTGGGTATGATGTAGGCATCAGCTCAAGGAGTCGAACCACTCCCAAAAAGCACAGAAACATCCAGCTTTAAATCTAATCTGGTTCTGAAGCACTTTGCTCCTGCATAATGGAGAGAGGGGGGAAAATAGAGAGCTCTGGGTTCCTTTCCTCCTCTCCATTAGCCCATTTAACTGGCACTTCCAGGAGCTGGCTGAGTCATAGCCAGGAATCGGACCGCTCAAGGAAATGCTTCCCTTCCCCCCACATCCCCACATAAGGAGTCAGGAGAAGCAAGAAAAAAAAGCTAACCTCTCTCAAACTGAATTTGCTTTCCCTTCCTCTTCCCTTAGCAAGAAAGAGGGAGGCCTGCTGAAGTGACAGGTAGAAAAGTTCCATCTGGCAACTTGTATGTGTATGTATGACTTCACTTCCTGACATGATTTAAGGCATTTGGAAGGCTACAGAAGTAGATCCAACCATTTGTGACTCTCATGTCAGTGGGGTGGTAAAGCAAGATTTTAATCTAAACTTCAAAAAAGTTATCCAAAGTGCTGAACCCCATCTCCAAAGTAGATTCAGGACGTTGGAGAGCTCTTTTGAACCTATGTGACCCACACCAAAAGGGCTCAGCACTCTGACAATACAGCTGGTGCCAAAGCTGCAAGTTGATCATAGAATCACTGGAGGACCTAGAAATTCCTAGATATATATTTTTACCTGAGAGAACACTTCTCTAGGAATTTCTAGGTCTTCCAGCATGACTCTATGGTCACTTTTAATTGGAAGATAAATACAGAATATCATTGGAGGCCCTAAAACGTCTTAGTAAGGCGTTCTTTTTTGAAATCTCTTGATGCTCCAGCATGACTGGCAGAAGTTGAGCACAGAATCACTGAAGGATCTAGAAATTCCTAGAAATTTCTATAGAGAGCGTTGTTCATCACATCTGTAAGTAATCAAATCTGCAAAAGTGAAGAATACTAATGTGGAGGGGTGACTGTATATTTTATGAGTTGGTCCTCTGTTGTTGGAATATAATGTTTTATCTATTTGATCACATTTTTACTTTGCGTGATCAGTTTTAATGAGACACTAGCTGTACACAGCCTGGTGTCCGTATGGATGAAGGGCCATTTCCAAAACACACACATTAGATCTGAATGCCATACTAAGCAGTCTTCAACCAACACCAATTAATTATAATCAAAAATCAAAATGAGGGAAAGAGGGAATTTTAAGATGATGACTTCCTAGATGAGGATTTATGGACAAAGCTATGCCACAAGGTATATTTCCCCTTTCTTAGGTTGCATCTACATTGTAGAACTAATGCTATTTGGCTTTAACTGCCATGGAATCATGGGAGTTGTTGTTTTACAAGGTATTTAGTCTTCTCCACCAAAGAGTGCTGCTGTCTCACCAAACTAATGATCTCATTATCCCATAGCATTAAGTTAAGGCACTTAAAGTAGTGTCAAACTGGGATGTGGGAGAAGCTTTGACCATATATAAAACTCAAAAGTCTACTTCTGCATTATTTCGGAAAAATGCTGGCTCTTTAAAATTCTTCAAATAGCATGGACACTTGTTATTTGTGGTCCACCAAAGTCTCAAAAATCAAGTAATGAAAATTATATTATAGTGAGTGAGACAAACATTACTACAAGGGTGTTGTGGTGTTGCTAGTCTGCACCTCTTTGGATTCTGTTTTTCTCTTTCAGAAATGCTTCCATTATGTAGTGTCTAATGGCTAGAGTCAGGGTAGTGTGTTGAATTGGCTCTACCCTGTCTCTATTCTATCCGCTTAACCTTTCTTAAAGTATTTACAGTCTGATCAAATACATTTGGTGACGAGAATAAATTTAGTACAAATGCTGAGGGTGAGTTTGTTTTAGTTGTCACACCCAGCCCTAACTTGGGATACTCAGATCGATTATTTTCATTTATTCCAGGATTTGGGGCTGGGGTCGGCCACTAATAAGGCAGTTCTGAGTTTCTTTACCTGATGATTTCATCAAGTGGATGGGGGACATGAAAGAAGCCTCTGCACAGGATTGCAACACATTCGGGCGTCCCCTGGGCAACGTCTTTATAGACGGCTGATTCTCTCACACCAGAAGCGACCAAAAGCATTATATTTTATATAATGCCAAGTTTTTAAACATTGCGTTTTTAAAAATATATTACAACTATACCCTTGGTGCGCTCCTGATATGATAAATAAATAACCCAGTGCATGCCCAGGGGCGCTATTATTATTTATTATTATTTGCTTTATTTCTATACCGCGTTTCTCAACCTAATTAGGTGACTCAATGCGGTTTACACAATGTAAATTAACACAACAATAACAATTAAAACACATCATACACAATAACAAAATACATAATTAATCATTCATACATAATGCCTCGATCACAAAGTAAAATCCAATCTCATAATCCTTGTGCCATTCCTATGTTCAATTTACCGTCATCCTATGTTTGATTGCGCTGATTAGCCAAACGCTTGCTCAAAGCGCCAGGTTTTAACCTTCTTTCGAAACGCCAGCAGCGAAGGGGCCTGTCTGATGTCAATGGGTAGGGCATTCCATAGCCGAGGGGCCACCACTAACTAGCACTCACACAAAAACACCAAACTTAAGGCAACCTTACCAAAGCTCTCGCCATGAACTTGACTGCATTGTTATGCTACAGTCCTACAGCATGAATAAAAAGAGGTCTCTGAGTGTGTACAGAGGGCCTCTTGTGCAGCCCAAACTTATCCCAGCCACTTGAGCTGCATAGATGGATGTTTAAGAAGTCCATTTAGTGACGAGGGTTTTCTGAGCCAAGCACTAGCTCAAAAGGTAGTGTACGTTTAAAATGAAATTATCAGAGCAAATGATGGATGTTTAAGAAGTCCATTTAGTGACGAGGGTTTTCTGAGCCAAGCACTAGCTCAAAAGGTAGTGTACATTTAAAATAAAATTATCAGTGCAAAGAGTTCCAAATGTTTTGAAGGGTATATGTACGGATAGATTAAACCTAGCAGTTTACTAAAGAAATTTGTAATCGCTCTGAGCTTCAGTTTAAATTTTAAGATGGCAATCCTATAGCTCTTTTGTTTTTGTATGACTCCAAACCCTTTCTGATTTGCAATTTTCTGGGGTTTCTGGGGCTGAGAATGTGTGATTCATCAAAAGGTACCCATTAATTTTCTATGGCTGAGCAAAAAATAAAACCCATGTCTCAAGAGTTGTAGTCTGGTGCTCAAATTGCTATGCTGTCTGGCAGAAATGAAATTAATGAGTTGTGTGTGCATGCCTTCAAATTGCCTGATTTATGGTTACTCAGTTAATTTCTTATGGTTCTCTTAGGTAAGGCATACTCAAGAGGTGATTTTCTTTAAAATATAGCCAACACCATTTGGCATTTGTTGGCTGTCTCCTGTCCAAATACTCACAGGGCTGACCTTGCTTAGCTTCAAAGATTAGATGTAATGTTAAATGTTTATAGGGTAATTGTATGCACAATTACATTGACATTAAGCATTTGATTTGAACCTTCCACGGCTTTCCTTTACTGACAGTTTACGCTTGTTTTCTCCCATTCCTAAGGCTCTTTTGGAAAGCTTCAAAGAATAAGGTTATTCTTTTAAGGCTACAATTCCCAGGGCCTCCTAGTTAGTATGATTACTTGGAAATAATTCAGTCTCATCAGATCATCCTGACTTCCACTCTCTCATTTCCAATTCCTGAACTATCCTGCCTCTTCTCCATCCTCAACCCACCCCAAACATTAAGGAGCACTTACCTGTGTTTGCTGCTGAATGATTTTGCTCTGGCCCAAGATTATGGAGCAAGAAGCCCAGAAACTCTGCCAGCTCGAAAGGGATCTGGACCCACTCACAGATTTGCCTGCATTTGCATCTTGCCTATCTATCCGTTGCCTGGACCAATCAATGCTGGGCTCGCCCTGTGGTTTGAGTGAGTGTAAGAAAAGCATCTGTTTGTTTCTCATGACAGCCAGAGCTTCCAAGGCTGCCTTTGCATTTTCTCTCGGCTACCACTCCCCACCCAATAGCCCACTCTCATTTTCCCATTGATTTTTCTTAAGTGCTGAGGTCCATCAATAATGCAACTAAATAGGGGGCAAAGGGAGGAGGGATGTGGAGCTAACCACATTGCAGTGGTTTCCTGCAAGCTACAATGGAAAGATGGTAGACCAAGAAGCAATGACTTTGCCCTTCCAAGGGAACAGCCAGCAGTCTGAGAGCCTTTGTATTTTTTACTTGGCCCTCAAAAATTCAGGTGTCTTTCTTGCCAACTGGGCCTTTAATTGTTATGCAACATTAAAAATAGACCCTCCCTGTACAGCAGAGGTGGGAAATCTGTGTCCAAATGTGGGCCTCCAGACTATTCAGTCCAAATAGCTGGACTTTCCCACTGCCATCCTCAGTGGTGTCTCCTGTTATGGATATTATTTACTCTCCCTGTGGTAAACATGATAGAGGGGATTTTGCTCAAATTAGGGGATAAAGGCTAGATAGAAAAGCATTCCCACCACCCTCGTACGGAATAAATGCAATGATCACATCCATAATATCATCTCTTTTGAACTCTGGTACCACCTGTGGCTTGAATAAAGACCATGGCGGGGTTCAATTGACATAATCTAGATCTTAACAAGGAAACTCCCACCCCTTGTTTCAAGGGGTCAGGCATTTGTTGAGGCCTTCAAGCTGCAAAGGCTTGCCTAGCCAATAATGTGGAGTGCTGGGAATTACAGTCCATTGGCATCGGGAGGACCTCATGATTTCCACCCCTTCTTTAGATACATTTTGTACTGCTCAGCATTATTAGATTCCTATCTCTTTCAGGCTGTGATTTTTTGGCTTGTTTTCTCCATTATGATTGATATTAATAAAGGGAGATAAATTCCCTACGCCCAATCCCTCTCTGTCCTGCCTATGTGGCTAGAGATCTCAACATGAAGGGATGACTTCTGCTCACAAGCCTTCATAGTTCAAAAGTACGTCACTGGCACACAAGTCTCCTAAAAGATAAAATGCCTTCTGCTCCCACAGCTGTTCAGAACACTATATTCCAGTGTGCCCAAGCTTTCTTCCAGACATGTTAGACTACATTTTTGGTTATGTAGGTGGGTTATTTTGGGAAGCAGTCCAATCAGTTAGGAAAGCTTAGTGTAGATTCATGAGTGTTTGAGGAGAATTGAGAAGTGTAATGAAAAGCATCAATAAAGTTCATGCTCTTTAGTCAAGACCACTGATTTCTAAAATGAAGTTGCTTACAAGTTTTAGCCTTGCAAGCCCATGATATCTTATAACCAACACCTCACTATTCAAGTTGATCCTTTTGACCAAATATCACTATTCTGTTGCTTTTAGCATGATGACGGATTCACGTGTTTAATTGGTAATGCAGTCTTCCAAACCTCCCAGGTTATGGTATATTTCAGTGGTGCTTCTTTCACAGTTTTGTCCTCATAAGCGAACTTCTCAGAGACAAAAGACTTTTCCTGGTTCTGTCCCAAGACTGAAGGAGTGATGGAAAAGATAAACACAGCAATTGCTCTCTTTTAAAAAATTTATTTAATTGCAGTTAATACAAAGATTTCAAAAATAGAAAGAGATCGAAACGGCAATAAGGCCGGCTTCAAGTTTTGGGATTTTTTTCCTCAATTAAAACAAAATTAAAACAAAAACCAAACAACAGCAAGTGAGGACATGTGACAAAGGCAATGGATGTTTTGTTTTTTTTACACTTTGTTGAGGTGGGGAGAAAAAGGGAGCGTTCAGGGCCCTAATTCAAAAGCACAAGCTACCATTCCCCATATGAAACAGGAACTCCAAAACACAACTGAATTCTAGAAGAACAGCAAATGTCTTTTTGCGTGGTGGCATCCATGGATGATGTAGTCAGGGAGCCCCTAAAAGGCACAGCCCGATTAAGTGCTAGAACCACTTCTTGGTTGGCATTTGACCCTCATCGCCAGCTGGGTTTGATCAAGGCACAATCCCAACATTGGCAATTTAGGCCCAGGCATCAATATGGCTATTGAAGGCTACATTGGTCTTACCCTCAGTGGGAATGGGGCAAGTACCTCCTTGGAATGGATTTAAGCATCTAATTCCTCTCCTCCTTCCAACTTCCACCCATTACTTGACAAGATCTATCCAGTAAACATCACTTTCATATTTATTTCACCGAACTGGGGAAGTATTCTGGTTGCTCATTTGCTAGCCTCCTTCAGAGGAAGCAAGTCCCACACAGGTTCTGCCATGTATTTTATGGGGGAACTAGTAATCTCAATCTCATCTCATCCCAGCATTTGGGGCTGATGAGGAACAAGCAATTCTGAATAAGTGTAGAGCACCATTTGTTTGCTTGCGTGAATAAAAAAAGGAGTGTCATTGCCAGGGGTGTTTTCAGTCATGTGAAGTTCAGCGCAGTGGAGTTGCCAAGAGCTAACTATATGTCTGAAGATAGGGCCAGGATAGATGCACGCAGTATGTTTTGGGTGTGTGTGTCATTTCTTCCCAGCTGACAAAGGGCAAAGATAGAAGCCGAGAGCATAGATTCAACCAGGAAGGAGTGACAAAGGGCTTTTGTTCTTTCCAGCATTCATTAACCTTGAATCATTTAAGGCTGTGGCTGAAACAAGGGCAGACTGAACAATATGGGGAGAAAGGGGAACCCCTCTCTTCTGCCAGGTTGGCAACCTGTTCCCAACATACCCTTGCCAATGGAGAGATGGGCCATTAGCAACTCGGGCAAAGAGAGGGTAGGGGCTTATACAAACAATGAGGGAGAGGTGAGAGAAGCTGACATCTCTCAAGCACAAATAGTCCACACGGCTGAGGCCTCGTTTCCAGGCACATACATACTCATACTTGCAGGTCAACTATTAGCCAATCTACACACTGAAAAAAAGAAAAAGCAATGAATTGCCTGCTCACTCAAGCTGACATCAAGTCTTTGAAGCTTTGGTCCTTTGGAGCTTTCATGCTTTGATCTGAGTCCTGGGTTGAGATAACCCTCAACCCAGAACTCGGATCAAAGTGCGAGGCAGCATCAGAACTACATAAATGAACACATGCACACACAAAAAACAAGAGCCCTGAAGGATCTCTGCACCTCTCCCACCACACACCAGCTACACATGAAGTCACTTGCAGTATATTGCTTACAGGAGGGAAAGGGAGAAAAGCAAGCTGGCTGTCAGTTGAAACATTTGGTTGTCTCCCACCCCATGGCACTTCGAAAGCACCTATTCACAGCATGTGAAGACATGACTTGGAAGGGAAGTGTACCATGCCATTGGGGAAGGGAAAAGGGAGAATAGGTGGCTCTGGCAGGCAGCTCCCTGTGTATATAAATAGTTACAAAAACCCCTGTATACATTTGGTTTCTGAGAGCTGACTGGCACCACCTGCAAGGCTGAGGGAGTGTGTAGAGAAAGAAATGGGTTGGCCAAACTGCTAAACAGAGGCCCAACCCAGAGAGAGCTAAGCAAGAAAGAGGCACAGCTGCTGGGCAGGACTTTCCTTCCTTCCCCAAAAATGCAGCATGGAGCAAACAGACTGTGCGCATGTGTGAAACAAATGTGCCCCTCTCTACTTGCCACCACTGCTTCTAGTATGCTAGTCCACAATTCCCTGAGGCCACCCAAAGGGCTAGGTTTTCAAGTTTTAATGATGCGCCCTAAAATGTGTCCGGAGTTGCCTGGGTGGTGTCCTGGTTGCCTGGACACCATCAAGGGAGGTAAGACACTAGTGGGCAAAAGTAATGTCCTCCTTCCCTTCAGGCTAGCACGTGCTCTCAGTGAGGGCAGAGAGCATGAAACAACAAGGCAAATGTTTAAGGCAAGTAATGTTGCTTTAAACTAGTTCTATTTAGTTCTGCCCCCTCCCCTAACGATATTAGGCCTGAATTCAGGATCATGTGATTATCTATAATGCCACTTCTAAACCCTTATAGAGTGTGAGGGAACCAGGTAGGTTAACTATTTTAGTCTTAGTCCTTAACTATCCTACGCCACTAAAATTAGAGGGGGGTTGTGAGGTCTTGTCTTCCTCTGGGTCTTATCTTTCACTTGTGGGCATAATCCAGACACAAGGCAAGGTATAAAACATGGCTTTTTCTAAGCCCAGGAAAATTAGGGACCAAACCCCTTGAATGCACAGGCTTGGTTTCTTTGAAGAAGTGATGCAAGAGCAGGACAAGGGAAGAGGAATAAAGCTGCGGAGCGACAGTCTCCCTCCACCCTCTTTTCTTTCCAGTCAGGTACAAAAGGCAAGGAAAAGCTTCTCTCATACAAAGTCCTCCTGGATGATGCCTGGATAGGGCAGAGGTAAGTATTTGAGAGATCAGGGGAGGTTTCCACCAAGGAGGCCTCTCCTTGGCCCCAGGGCTGTATTGCCCAGGACAAGGTAAATCTGCGCTCTCAAGAAACATCCAGAAATAGGGGTAGCAGGAGGATAATACCTTTTAAAAAGAAAATAAATGCCAAACAATCCAGTTGGCATTGTTTCAGGTTACCAAGGGGGAAGGCTGTCTGAGCTGCATGGACAACATCCACAGAGAATCATCATCTTGCAGCAGGGCAGAGACAATGTCGAACCCTCATGGTGTGGGGAGGGGAGGAAATGGCACTCTCCCTCTTGATGCTGCCTGAGTCCCTGCAGTGCATAGATATGAACCCTAATGGGGAGGGGGTGTCTATGTTTGATGTCCCTGCATTTGGGTGGAAAGGCCAGAGGCTCCGGCATCCGTCCATACCCTGGTTGGAAGCTGCTCTGGCACAACCTAATGGGTGGCCAAAGCAGGTTATTGCCCTCAAAGTGCTTGCATCTGCCCTGTGGGAGGGTCATGAGTAATGCATGTGCAGTTCCCCTCCCTTCCTCCTGGCCAATACTGAAGGCACTGAGTGAAAAAGTTCCCCTTTGGGCATAGTGCTAGGAGGGCTTTAAGGAGCCCTCAGTTGACCAAGGCTGGTATAAACGTCCTCTGCCTCACTCAGCTCCTCAAAGATCGGGATCAAGTTCAGCAGCTCAGTGTCCGCCATGTCGTCAAACCAAGACTGGACCGGCACCTGCGGCGGAGAGAGAAGGACAAACAAGGTCAGCCTGGAGAATAGGATAAGAGACTGAACACAAGCGGGAAGTGGGAGACACACTTCGGGAAACACAGAACAATCCAAGATTTTTAGGTGTAGCCGGGACTGGCTCAAAGCTTTTTGATGTCCTTCTCCTTCAATACAAAGTGTTTACTAACTTAGGCCATTCACTTTATTTTGGTATCAAAGACAGAAAATTCCTCTTTCTTGTCCCAGCAGTACAAAAAGTATCACTTGTGTTACTAGTGTTGGAGGAAGTAACCTCTCAAGCCTCCTCTATGTGATACTTGTGTATTTTGTAATAATGTTTTATTTGTCATTTTGTAACCTGAAGTATAAGTCTTGTTTGTAGTTTGCATTTACCTTGTCTCTTTGTACTGAAGCAGCGGGAGGGGCTGGGATCATGTGACGGTTTAGAACATTCAGTTTTGAAATAATAATAATAATAATAATAATAATAATAATAATAATAATGCTTTATTTATACCCCACCACCATCTCCCCAAGGGGACTCGGGGCGGCTTACATGAGGCCATGCCCATCAATACAATATACACAATATAACACAAAAACACAACAGGAAATTAGAAAAAATAACCTGAAATACAAAACCAATGTATATAAGCAACACAATATAAAATAAAAAAGTGACATTAAAAATGAAAAAGGACGGACTGTTAGTTGAGGTTAGAGAAGTCAGTTGAGCTTTGAGCCCTGTTAGAGAATGTCTGTCGGAGCTAAAAGTGTTCAGAATCTAATGTTAGAAGATAGTAAATGGTTGAGGCTTGTTTATAAGTTTTAAGATACAAACTCTCTGAAAATTTTGAAGTATTTTAACCCTCAAAAGAAATGTGCCTGTATCATTAAAGTTTATGAAGTTATAAGTAAACAAACATTGTTATTCTAAAAGAAGTCTGCTTGAACCTTTGCCTCCCCAAGGCATCAAATAAACTCTAGGAATACTCCTCTCAAACTCTTCTACCCCTGATGGGTTGCAACCCTAACAGGTTGTGATCCCTCCATCCATTATCCCCAATAACAAGTAGCAAAAATGCAATAGTAATTAATGAAATGTTCCACCATTCTGTATCCCAGTATTCTGGGCAATTATTGGCCAGCCTTTAGCACTCCATTTTTGGGCAAGGTTCTGGAGCATGTGTTGTTCTCCTAGTTCCAAGACAGGCATGTAGCCGGGGGGAGGGGGGGGCTTGGGGGCTTCAGCCCCCCCCCTCAAATTCTGATGGTGGTCCACGAGAAGGCCTTACTGGTACATTATTTAAACTGTTATGTTTATTCATATCATGATCTGATCACCATGCTCAATATATCCCATATGCATGGGGGTATTGGGGTAATGATACAAAAGGTTTGCTAGGGTAGACCCCCTTTCACTCAGACTCAGCCCCCCCCCAAACCAAACTCAGCCCCCCCCCCAAACAAAATCCTGGCTACAGGCCTGCTCCAAGGGTTTCTAGATGAGATGGGATCTGGGGGCATTGTTTCACAATGGCTTTGTTCATATCTCAGTCAACCAACCCTAAATCCCACATGTAAATAAAAAATCACAGTTTTGCTCACCGCATTCTCTGGATGGAAGATGTAGGAGGCAGGAGAATTGTCCAGGATGAGGGTTTTGCGCAGGTCACGACCCAAACGGCTGAGGTCCTTAACATAACAGCCCTGGTGAAACACGCACGACTCCCGGAAGAGGCGCGTTCGGAAGACTCCACACTTGTCCAGCAGGTCAGTGACTGGATCAGCGTACTGGACAAAATAATAATGTATTTGTATTTATACTAGCTGTTACAAATAGATGCCAGCAAACAGACGAAACAATTAACAGGGAGAAATCAAAAGGCCAGGAGTCTGTCAAATTCATCCATTTGTAATCACATTGTGAATGAAGTAGCTGATACCTGGCATGGATTTTTAAAAAAATCACAAATAAGTCACAAAGCTTTATGGATTTGGAGGGAAGACATAAATATATATCAATGATGCTCTTATACTAGGGATGGGCAACACTACACCTCACAGGCATCACACCCCTATTGCTGTAACTGCTGCCACCACCCCAGAAGAATCACAAACTGAAATTTAGCCACAGTCCTAAATCTACTGTCTTTTTATCCTTTCCATTTAAAAGGGGAGGAGATGCAGGAAGGGGAGCTAGCCAGCAGAGTAATATGTTGTGGGAAGCAATGTTGCTCTGTGATGTGGGAAATGGGATCTTCTGCATCCTAAAAGAGATGCCAGAAATACTGTCAATATTTATGGCAACTGCAGCAACAACCCCAATGGCCACCAAGAAATTTCATCCATCACTACTGTTGTTACAATGAGGTTACAGCCCACAGCTAACTGGGGAGACGGATCAAGGTAGCTTTCAACCCTGTGTAAGTTGTCTTCATGGCATGAAAAGAATTGCAGAAGTGAAAGGACATTCACTGGTCATTTATGGAAAATTTCAGTGGTTTGCATAACGCCTCATAATATTAACTTTATTGTATCCCACCAACAACTCTCTGGAGGGACTTGGGGCGGTTTACACGCAGCACAAAGTGCGTAAAAACAGAACATAATATGTAAATAATTTAAGAATACAATTGAATAAAACATACAGACATATAAATAACAAGCAACACTCAATTAAAAATAGTGCTTATCCATCCATATAGATAGGAAAAGGGAAACAAGTTAGCCAAGGCAAGCAAGTGTGAGTAAAAATGTCAATTTTGCACAATTGTTAGTACTTCTTGGTGCAGAGATTTATTTTTAATCATGAATCCACAGGCCTGAAGGTCTAGTAATGCCCTTTACAGGATAGCTAGGGCAAAAGCTGCCAACATATAAGGTTAGAACTACAGCCTGCAATTCTAAGTAGCTGGAAGCAGCAAGATGCCCTCCCACTCTGACATTTTTATTTTTCCTCTCACCTTAGCCAAGCTGGCAGTGAAGAGCACGCACTCAAACAGCTCCCCCATCCGCCTCAGGAACTCATCGACAAATGGCCTCTTCAGCACATAGACCTAGGAGTTAGCATCAGAGGTCAGGGAATGGCATGACAGGAAAACTTATATCTATAACCAAACTCACAGGCAGAATATACAACTAAAGAAACATGAATTTGGAGTCAGTTGCCAGAACATGCAACAGTACTGCACATTGGTATGGGAGAAGCAGTGAGTGAGTAAACAAAGCATAGGTCCTTTTCAGCCTATTGCTTTTCTCCAACACTGCCAAAATCAAGCTGTTTCCTTCATCCTTTGGGGTGATTGGGATTGGCAGGGGCAGCACACATGGGTGTTACTGCCCAGTTAACTTTGGGTTGAAGCAGAGCTAAGGAGTTTGTGTCCTCCCACAAATTTTGCTGGATTCCAGTTCCCATTAGCCACACCCAGCAGAGCCAACTGTCAGGTATGATGGGAGTTGTAGTTAAGCTACATCTGGAGAACCACTGGTTTTCCAGCCATCAATGGGTTAAACCCTTGTGCTTGCAAGACTACTGACTGAAAGATTGGGGGTTCGAATCCGAGAAGCAGGGTGAGCTCCTGTCTATCAGCTCCAGCTTCTCATGAGGGGACATGAGAGAAGCCTCCTACAGGGTGGTAAAACATCTGGGCATCCCCTGGGTAATGTCCTTGCAGACGGCCAATTCTTTCACACCAGAAGTGACTTGCAGTTTCTCAAGTCGCTCCTGACATGGAAAAAAAATCACGATTTGGATTTGTTGGAGAACAAAAACACAGGGTAATGAGAAATCTTCAGAAGAACTCAGTGTTTATGAGTGTAACATATAATTCCAGTCAAATACTCAGGAACATCATAACATTGCAATTTTGGGAATTGCTTCAGTATGCAGAAATAAATGTGATACTAATGGACTTTCATTTCAGAATCTGTTATGTATCATCTGCAAAGCAGGTTCCCCAAAGGGGACAAAAGAGAGAACATGATTGGGTCTTTGACTACATCACACTAGAGAATGAATCCACTTAAAATCTGGTTTCTGCCTCCTGCAGAATTCTGGGGTTTGTAGTTTAGTGAGGCTGTTAAAGCCTCCTCCCTAAACTACAAACCCCAGAATTCTGCAAGAGGCAGCAGCTGGATTTAAAGTGGATTCAGTCTCTAATGTGATGAGGTCCTTAGTCTTTGGCCCTATTAAGATTTCCTCCTTTTCTGGCTTCATGTTAAAATTAGAAGTTTGGCTTCAAGACTCTTCCTGCTCAAGACTAACTTCCTGCTCAAGACTTCAAGACTAACTTCCTGCTCTCCTTCAGTATTAGCATTCTGTTTATTACAGTAGACAGCAACCTAGCTCTTAGTGCTCTGGCTTTTAAAAGACACTCTCAACATGGCCACCAGTCTTTTAACCAGAATGAAGTGAAATACTGCAGGCTCAAATAAAAGAATGCCTACTTCATATGGCTCAGTTAATCATTGTTCATTTTAATGAGAGTAATTGCAGAACTGTGTGTTAATAGCTGGTACAGACATTGCAGTGAACGGTGCAAAGCCAATTGGGTGCTCCTCAACATTCTACAGGGGTTCGCTTGACATCCGTCACTTGGATATATTTCTTCTTCCTGAAGGAGAACAGTTGGTCCACGTCATTTCTTCTGGTATCAATGTGACAAGGGGCTGCCTCCTGAAACAAGTAATCAAGAATAGGCCGTACTGCCTGGTAACAGCCTATCCTGGATTACTTGAACCAGGCTGAAGCCTTCATGCAATAGTCTTCTGCATCTTCTTTGCAGCACCTGAGTGAGAGATATCTTCCTGGCCAATCAAACAAATTTGCCAACTATTTCCAGAACAGATACTTGGCAAAGAAGCGAAAAAGCCAGCCACAGCTCCCACACCATGAGCTTACCTGATGGGTCGTTCCCTCTATTTCAACAGGCACTATGAAGTCGGCATTGTTGATGGGCTGAACAATGGATTAAAAACAGTATGTTAATTTTGGGTGCTTTTGCTATGCAGTACTTCCCCTTGCCTCTGTGTCCACCCCAATCTCTATACATCATTGGAAATCCGCTCACCTAACTTACTCTGTTTTTTCTTAAACTAACATTATATGGCACAATCTGTGTGAAAATGTTTGATGGAGACAAAAGGGGCTCAAAGCCATCTTCCAAACATAGAAAATCTGATGTGAAAATAGAATTGAAAGCTGTCATGAATAAACAGGGATCCTTGTCCACTCCCAGAAGCAGTAGAGAGCCCAGGGATGGGGACTACATAGACCCCCAGATAGTATTTCTATTCTTGGGTGAGGTAGTACCAGAGATAATTTATCCAAATAATGGGAGTAGATTCTTCAAAGACTCAGCATCTGCCCTGAGTCCCCCCTTGGGGAGATCGGGTGGAAATTATTATTATTATGACACAAAAACGCAGTATGTCAAAGCAAACGAGATCTATATGCTGGATTTTGTATCACAAAATCACAAGTCGAACACTTCCCAAGCATCTAGGACTATGTGATGTATTTTCATATGATGCACACAGATCCAAGTAAGGTGGCCTTTTGCAGTTGACAGATTGTGATTTTGTCAATGTTTATTGTTTCCAAATGCAGGCTAAGATCTTTTGGCATGGCACCCAATGTGCCAATTACCACTGGGACCACCTGTACTGGTTTATGCCTGAGCCTTTGCAGTTCAATTTTGAGGTCCTGATAACAGCTGAGTTTTTCCTATTGTTTTTCCTCAATGCCACTGTCACCTGGTATGGCGACATCAATAATTCAAATGTTTTTCTTTTCCACAATCTTGATGTCTGGTGTATTATTGTTGTTGTTGTTGTTGTTGTTCTATTTTGTGCTACAACCAATATACACAGTTCACCCTCAAGCTCCTTTGAGATGAGTAAATTTAGGGTTTGGAGATTGCTTAGGTCCTTCTCTCCAATTCACACGACCCCAGTCTCTGTGTAGTCATCACCCACAAAGCTTTTTCTGCTTTCTGGGAGATTCACATGTTAAGCTCTGAAGATGCTCTGCATCAAACAAATCCTTTCCCAATCCTCTCCCCTTATTGTATCTTTGCTAAGATACAGAGGGTGCAGACCTAGCCTCTGTAAATGGTATTTTCCTGCTACCTCACAAGATTTTATAACACGGAATGCTCCAGATTTACAAACAATATGATGCTACTAACAGAAAACATCCATTAGTGGATATGGGTGGTTTTTAATTATTTCTCCTTTATCCCTGAATCCTCCCAAAGTTGATCTGAGAGATACTCCCATCCAAACACAAAATAGAATTTAATCCTGTGAAGGGGCTGCAGGAGAAAAAGGAGAATCAACAAACATTATCATATTTAGCTGAAAGATGCCTCCATTAAGTTGAGAAACACACTGGAGACAAGAGCGGACAGTCACAAAATGTGGAATCTAATGTCTGATTTTGTTGTTAGACCCACTCAAGAGGAGGCTCACTGCCTCAATAGAACTTCTATAAATGCAGATTTACTGAGTTCCCAACAATTCAATAGGCCTCTAGCTGGGACTATCATTTTGATTTAGTCCAATGTTTTAAAACTACACCATCTCTGTGAAGCAGAGTCCCACTATCTCATCCTTCCACATTTCCTTCTCTGTTCCCACTGCCAGCATATTCCTTGTGCCTGTGACTACAAAGGGGGCAAAATGAGGGTGTTGACTCTAGCAAGGAAAAATCTGCTGCATCCAATGAAATACTCCTTCAGTCTCCAAACCTCTAACCATGCAGTTAACTTTAAATGCCAGCTGGGCATTTAGAAAAGTTTAGGCACACAAAGAAAAGAGGTAGGCAAAGTCATCAAGGGAAGTGAACACAGGAAATATAAGATTATTGGAATGAATGATTTCAGCATCTCACTCTCTGCAATGCTAGAAATGGAAGAACTGAAGGAAAATTTCATATGGTGGAGCAATACCTTCATTTTAATTTGGGATCAATACCTTCATTTTTGGAATGTGGCATAATGTTTGAGAACTAAACTACAATAATAATAACCACCACCACCACCATCATCATCATCTGCACTTAAAAACAATTGGTGCTGACAAAGTTACTATCTATCAGCTGCAAAAGGCCACCCTACTTGGATCTGCACACATTATTTGCCAATTCATCATACCATCCTAGAATACAAAAGCCAGCATAGCAATCTTGTTTGCTGTGTACTAATCTTGTTGTGTATCAAATAATAATCTTTATTTATATCCTGCCCCCTCTTCAAAAGGACTTTATATTTTCAATATAAAATCAAGCAAAAATAAAAACATAACACATAATGCATAATGACAAAATATAAAAAAAAACGTAAACAGAACTAACAGTATCATAATGACAAACACAGATTAAATTGGCAGGATTTAAAATTATGACTCTGGAGACCAGGGTTTGAATCCCTGTTCAGCCATGGAAACCCACTGGGTGATCTTGGAAAAGGCACACACTCTCCACCTCATAAGAAGGCAAAGGAAAACCCCTTTAAACAAATTCTGCTAAGAAACCCCCATGATAGATTCACATTAAAGTTGCCATTAGTTAGGAATGACTTGAGAGCACACAATGACAAACTTAATTCCCCTGTATTACTATATCACTGTCCCCATCACCACCCCACCACCCCGAGGAGAGCAGGAGATTCACCTTGAAGGAGCTATGTACTAAGGTCTCATCCAGATCAATCACCACGCAGATCCGGCCCTGGTCTTGTTGAGTCACGTCAGGGAGAAGGCACGTCCCAGGAATCTAGAAGAGGGGGGAAAGCTTTTACTACTGTTGCAAATTTTGGTACAGCACACCACTGTGCACCATGTTGCTAGAGGTATATTTAAAAGCTTCAAGAACTACGGAAATGTAACATTCAATTGTTTGAAATGAGCTTAGTTTGAACAGCTTGTCCATCTTTTGTGTAGAAAAGGACAAGAGAGGACAAAACTACTACATGGAGAAAAAGCTGTTCTGTCCCCTTCTCAGTAATCCCCCCAGGATAAACAATCCATAAGCTGATTTATAAATACATTGTAATTTAATTGATTGTTTCTATGGAAGTACATGCCGATGTTCTTTTTGAACTGTGCATTTTATCTCTGTGATATTTAATTTTACTTTATTTTCTTGTATTACTACTTTTGCTATTCCCTACCTTGAGCACATTATGGTGAAAGTGCGGGAAAACAGATAAATATGAAAAAATGGGGAAATGGAAGAATTATTCCTAAGATAGGTCTTTCTTCAGAGGCTTTTAAGCAGAGGCTGGATGGCCATCTGTCAGGGGTGCTTTGAATATGATTTTCCTGCTTCTTGGCAGGGGGTTGGACCGGATGGCCCATGTGGTCTCTTCCAACTCTATAATTCTATGGCTCTAGGTAGAAAAATCAAGCATTTACTGATAATAAATCAGCATTTGCAAGCTTCATTAAAGACTGGAGCAGATGCACTTTAGCACAGGCATGGGCAAACTTCGCTCCTCCAGGTGTTTTGAACTCCAGCTCCCACAACTCCTGGGAGTAACTCCAGAAAAGTGTTCCCACTTCCCTACTGGCTGTTAGGAATTGTGGGAGTTGGTGTCAAAAACACCTGGAGGGCCAAAGTTTGCCCATGCCTGCTTTAGCACATAATTTTCCAAACTGAGTGTCACGACATATTAGTGTGTTGGCTACAGTATGTAGGTGTGTCATGCACCCCGTTTCAACAGGGCAGTGAGAGAAATTTGCTTAATAAGTGAATGATTATTTGCATCTCTTGCTCATATACTTAAACATAAGCAGTCATAGTCTCACTCTCTCATGCACAAAGAGGATTATGTATACATTGTTGATTACACTTATTATGATGGAAGAAACTTAGTATGAGTTATTCTTAGTGAAGAAATGCATGCATAAAGTAAGAGATTTATAACTGCAGAAGCCATATCCATGGAATATATCCATGGTATCACTTATTGTGCCCAGGGGGAAATGGTCCGAGGCCCTCCAAATGACTCTATGGCAGTGGTGCTCAACCTGTGTGTCCCCAGATGTTTTGACCTTCAACTCCCAGAAATCCTAACAGCTGGTAAACTGGCTGGGATTTCTGGGAGTTGTAGGCCAAAACACCTGGGGACCTACAGGTTGAGAACCACTGCTCTATGGAATGCTTCCCTTGGAAGTTACCATACCATAGAGTTATATTAAAGTATTAACATATTCATCTACAAATCTCTAGGGGTTTCCTAGAGGAATGAGTTAGTCCTTCAACATAATTCTAGGAATTTCTAGGGCAGTGGTGTCAACCTCGTGGTTCTCCAGGTGTTTTGGACTTCAGCTCCCAGAATTCCTGGCCACTGGACAAGCTGGTGAGGTCTTCCTGGAGTTAGAATCCCAAACATCTGGAGGGCCACAAATTTGACACCTCTGCTCCAGGGCATTCAACATGATTCTATAGTATGCTGAGACCAAATGTAAGGTAATTTAATGGCATTGTCATATCCATGTTTTCACATAACCACAGTCTAGCCAGGAAATGTATCCTCCATGGATACTGGGTTCTAAGTGTATGTGCACACATGTACAGGGTAAACACAGTCCTCATTAAAGAAGAGGCACAGATGTTTTAAGCAAAAACATACCTGGTAAAACTGGTACTGAAGACACTGCAACAGATCAGACTAAAAGGAGGAAAAAGAGGAGAGCACAGGTGTAGGTATCATGAAAGAAGGCGAGACTACAATGCTACCATTGAGGATCTCAGCCAGCCTTTGCATCTCCCAGCACATTATAATGAGGTGAATTTCAAGAGCTGCTTCACATATGATGTATTTTGTGCTCTGAGAGTTTATTCAATGTTGGAAGAATGGTGAGAATTCAACAAGTAAATGACTAAGCAGACAGGGTATGGAAAACGTTCAGAGTGGAACAGCTTCAAAAGCCTGGACTGACAATATTACTACATGAAAAATGGGAACTGTTTCCAGTTTTTAAAGAAAGAGGTTCCCTGATGCAGGTCTCTATGGGAGCCCTGCTTCTGAATTCAAAGGATATGGAGATAGCCAGAAAAATGCCGCGGTGAAGGGAATTGCACTCTATATGCAATGAGAGTCACTTTTATTACAAAACCTCAAACTTGTTTCCTTTTTCTATAGGCAAGGGGCACATTCACAGATATGAACAGTCATCCCTATACATTTATGGGTTAAAATTTAGCAGATTTGAGCAATTCTACGCTCAATTTCCATTGGAAGTTGAAAATAAAATGCCTAGGGAGAACACTTCTCTAGACATTTCTAGGTCTTCCTGCATGAATCTATCATCAACTTCCTCCTATGTTGACTACAGAATCATGCTGAAGGATAGAAAATGCTTCCTAGGTAAGTATTATCTATCTGTCTGTCTGTCTTGCCTTTCTGTGGGTTTTCCACTTTTTGTGAGGATCCTGCACCGCTAACTCCTATGAAAGTTGAGGGCCGGCTGTATTTAAAACAGAGATGAAACTATATAGGCACAGAGTCAAAAGTTACTTCCTAGGACTTCAAAAAATTCCTGTGCAGCATACCTAATGACCGAGGGATTCTCAGAATTGTAGCCCAAAATGTAGCTTTTCCAAGTGCTGATAAAAATTAACAGTAACTGTAGGAAGCTTTATTTCCAATTACGTAGTTGGATAGAAAATAAGCTTATTCTAGAACATGGATAGATGTTTGCATTTCACCCTATATAGTCAAATGCATCATAATTAGTCATGAATTGCCAGTCCAGCTACCAACAGGAAAATACATAAATGTACAGCCACTGCTCTACATGTGGTTTTCGTCTTGTTTTCTAAATGGTAACCCTTTTTGGTAATGTGTGAAACAGCTCTGGAAATTGTCGTTTCCAATCCAAATCAGTATGTTTGTGCTGAAGGCAATTCTTAATAGAACGAGAAGGAGCCATTTAGATGTAAAAAGACTAGCAAAGGTTATTGTGAACACTGATCAGCAGGGGGTCTACTTGCTTGCTATTAAGGCAGTTAGATGCAGATGGGGAAAAACACAAGCAAGAGAAAGTTATACATACAGATGCTCATACAGAGAGGGAGAGAGAGAGACAATTCAGTGGCTAGACTTATGAGATATTTTATATCCTATGGGATATAAATATGGATTGCTGGAAGAAAGAAAGGATTTGCAGGAAAGAGCTCAGGCTCGACTAATTCTGCCTGTTATGACTCCCTGGATCACAGCATCAGTGGCCACTTACCTTGGCAATGGTGTTGGTCTCCTCCTTCGGTGATCCATGTTCTCCGCTGCCAAGGGCTGGCTGGCCAACATCCTGTGCTCTGAGGCAACAGAAGAGAGCCTTGAAGATGTTCCGGCCACGAGGCTTCTTTGGGGAAGATTTGGACACCAAGACTGAAAATGCAACAAACAACAAGGGAAACCTCCATGAGACCTGTTATACTCGCACAGAGCAAAGACATGGGGGAGAGGTTTTGTCTAACTACACATCTTCTTGACAAGCAGTTCAAGTAGTAGTTGGCACTGGAAGCAGAAGCGAACTCATTCACTGATCCTATTTGAAGCACACAACGATACGCACAAGACTCTAAGTGCACATTCATTCTCTTGAAACTATGCCATTTAGATAGATGCATATTTCATTTTCTGTGTGTCAACTGCTCTACCTAACGCTTGACTATTTTACTTACACACGAGTTGCTTTTGCCACTGGTCTGGAATAGGGCTTTTAAGCAGGAGATAATTTACCTGTATTTATGGACACCATATATTGATCTGCTATTTATAAGGAGCGATTTTATTATGCCAGGCCTAATATCACATCTTCTTACAAGCACAAGCCTTCCATAATTTCAGAAGACTTCCTTTTAACAAACTGGTATTTGGAACCTTATGGCATGCAGCTAAATATGACCATGTAAGTTTTCCAGAACTCTATGTGGAAATTTTGCTATAGCAGACTTAAAAATGATGCCACAGAAGTCTGATACACAAGACACCATTATTAAATACCATGCAATTCTTAAGATTCAAAATAGTATCCCTCCCAAGTTTCACACACACACTTTTTCCTCAAATGTATCCACAGTTACATAACATTTTGCTTCTATGGACATTACTGGACCCAGGCCCAAATATATTTCCTGAATGAGATTAAGATATTCAATATCATCCCTACAATTGGCAGGGAGCAATTATCATAACACTGCCAACACCATCTGGTTTGGCCAGGTCTAGTAGAGACAAGGATTACCTGCTGTCGCCTGATCAACAATGGATCTGCTACCCGAGGAACATCCAGCACTAGGTTCCTTGCCTCCTATTTTAGTAACTATCCCAGGAGCTCTGACCTGCAGAGCTGTCAGCTTTCACTTAGGAACAGCTATCCATAGCCTCAGGCCAGTTCTGAAATTCCCAGGCCAGACTTGTAGTGTTTATTTAAACAAGGATGGTCTTTCATCCGTCCTTTACTAATAGCTAAGTCTCATGAAAGCTATAGTCCAAATATATCTGGACAGCCACATATTCCACACTCTGATTTAAAGCAAATATTCCAAGAATCACTCACAGAAGACAACAGCAATATACTTCATTTCCTTGCTTGTTTGGGGAAAAGGGGAAGTCCCCCTCTAAACATCTTACTGTAGCTTAAATATCCACATAAGTTGGAAATCACTTGAAGGCACAAAACAACATGGATCCCATGATCATTTGCTCTACTTGCCCTGAACTCAGTGGGTACAGCTTAGCTATCTTTGTTCTTCCTTATTTGCACCTACAAGTCACTAATGTTCCCTGAGATCTTTTGCCAGTACAAACCAGTTGGTAAAACAATATGTACTCTGGGATACAAACACAAAGATCTTGTGTTGAGGTAAAAGCCAGATTGTGCCATCTGTAGAGAGAAAAACCATGAGTGCATTCACATGTTACGTGATTCATGTCAACTCTGATATGTTGCTTAATCTGAAAACTGTAAACCAAAGAAGCAAAGGAATCCTGGTTTCCCCTCCTCATTTCTGGGTTGCTTCCCTTCTCTTTCCAGTGTATTTTATTTTAAGGTGGACAATGGGGAAATAAGCCATGGTTGCAACTTCAAACACTATGGCAAGTTACAGTTTAAGCAAGACAGATTTTGTAAGCAAACAACAAACCACGGTTTAGATTGCATTTTGTGGCTGCCCAACAAACTCGTATGTTAACAGATTTCCACAACTTACATTATGACTTGGTATGACATGTAAATTTAGTCTATGTAATACAGAAAAAAATGGCCTGATACTATTTTATGCAATTTATTGGGCAGTATCTAATAGTGTTTGCTGACATCTGAGAAAACTGAGTTTAGAGAAACTTGGTAAAAATAAATAAATGGATAATACAATTGTAAAATGAGTACACACTACAGACCTAAGAGAGATATTGACTGCAGGATGGAATCAGAGAGAAATAGCTAAAAAAAGAAGGTGAAAGAGGAAAAGAGGCAGGAGAGGGGTATCAGCACAGATGGCTTCAAATGTGAGATCCGTAGCAGGTGCGATAGGCATTGGTTTTAAGCAATTTTTTCTTCTTTGCCAATGCTGATTATGCATCCATCAAATGAGACAGTTAACATAAGTTTCAAAAGCATTTAAGAGTTTATATATAGAAATGGTAATTTCTGGTTTAAAGCTAAATAGTCCATCTTGAGCTGTGCTGTCAAACTCCATTTCTAAGCATCCCGACTCCTTCAATCCTTCAGAGCAGGGATGGCATCACAAATACTGGAATTGCTCTCTGTATCTCCATCCCCCTGAGGCCAGAGTATATAACCTGCTTTCTGTTCATGCTCTTAGTGTCACCAAAGCAGTTTATTGTTGTGTGCCTTCAAGCTGTTTCTGACTAATAACAACCCTAAGGCAAACCAATCACTGTGGATTTTTTGCCAGATTTGTTCAGAACTTTGTTTCTATTGTTGTGGGATGCTTGTTCTATTTATTGTTTATTATTTCATTGTAACATACAAGTTTATTCTTATGTTTTGTTAGTGGCTTTACATAACTAAAGTTCCAACAATGTGAATGAGATTCTTTTCCAAGAAATTAAATATTTAGCATTTAAAAAGTCATGCTTTCCCAGTTCCATCCTCCAATCTGCGCACAAGGGCGTAGAATAGGTTTGCAATCATAATGGTCTAAAAATAAAAGCCCCTGCTTTCTCTAGTAATACATGTATTATCCATAAAGACATGTAATTGTGGAGGGTGGTGTTCCACAAGTCAGCCACAAACAATGAAGAAAGATTACATTTTTGTTAATGTGACACCAGCAGCCTGATAAAATAATATTGCATGAAGTATGTGGGTGGTGGTGGATCTCACTGCAGTGCTTAGGATAAACCATCAGGTGGCAATGTAAGCTTACAAATAGACCACAATTTTGCACTGTTGTCTTACTGTCTCCACCCTTAAAGTAAGGTTAAAATTGGGTTACACACAAACACACCCTGCAGGGATCTGCTAAGCGTGGAGGAGGGGATGCACAGATATGGCATGCATTTGACTGTGGCAGTGGCAGCCTATTTGATTTCACTACAGAGGGAACAGTGAGGGAGATAAACAACCAAGATGAGACAGGAAACCATAGTAAGGTCTCCATTGGAGGAAACTGGGAGGATTTCACAAGGAGCCCAGTGAAGACACCTCTTTCTCTTCCCCAGTATTCCCAGCAAAGACACATTTTATCTTTGCAATGTTCACTCAGAAGGATTTTTTCAATCTGACCACAATTTTACAATTGAACCTGAGAGTTCTCAGACAGATTATGGTGGAACTCTGCTATTTATTTATTTTATTTATATTTATTTATTTATCATACTTATATCCTGCCCTTCTCAACTCCGAAGGGGGCTCAAGGTGGCCATACAAAGGCAACAATTCGATGCCACATATAGAAATACATTGGTAAATAAATAGAAGCATGAAAACCAAATCAATCAAAACATAACATTAAAGCATCAATTAAAATCACATGATCCAGATCATATTCCAAGGCCAGACTGAGTCGTCACTAGGATAATTATAGTCTCTTACTGCACTGCTCCTATTACTGACCAAAGGTCTGATCCCAGAGCCACGTTTTTAGTTTTTTTCCTGAATGACATGAGGGGGGGGGGGGAACCATTCTAATTTCACTGAGGAGTGAGTTCCATAGAGGGGCAACCACTCAGAAGGCCCTGTCTCTCATCCCCACCAGTTGCGCCTGTAAGGGGGGGGGGTGGGACTGAGAGCAGGGCCTCCCCCAACTATGTTAGCCTCCGAAGTGGATCATAGAGGGACATACAGTCAGACAGGTAAGCTGGGTTGAAACCGTTTAGGGTTTTTTCTCACAAGCTTGTTGGAAAATCCAAAATGAGATGACTTGTAAAGGAAGGAAGGAAGGACAACAATCACATTGTAACTCACTGGTCTGCATATTCAGTACAGAAAAGGGTTGCTAGACTTAAATTGCCTAGATTATATTTTCCATTTTACTGAAACCCTGAGATCTGCTGATATGAAAGAGATACATTTACAATGAAAGAAGTTTGTGCTGAGAAACATATTATTTTTGCAGGGGGTCTTCTTGACTGATTTTTAATTCTCCCCTTAAGGAAAGATACTCAAAATGGATAACTAAGAATGGACATTACTCACTGCTATAACAAACACACTACCTTTTACAGTATCCTTTCCAAGCTCTGGAAAATTGTTTTAAGTATCAAAGGAGTTATAGTGCTTTCATACAGTGCAATATGAAGCCCAAACAAGCCTATATGACATCCTCCATTAAGTGGGCACATGTTAGTTGGGGATCCATGGCAAATACGTGAGAAACCCTCAGTATAAAGTACCATTTGACTTGAAAAGCAAAGATCAGAATCTTCTTCCCTTCCCCTCCCTAGCTCTGGGCACTAGTTGTAATACATGGGCACTAATTTCCTGTATTCAAACTGTCAGCAACATTTTTGTGACCCACATGGCACCACTAATGTACACTAGGAAGCTATCCTCTGCCTTGGGAGAATACCAATGTGGCATCAAATGTTTAAAAATAATTAGGGGGCAACCTTCCAAAAGAGCCCAGTGAGGACCAAATGTGCTCAGTTGTCATAACATGTTAATATTTGAGACAAGAGAAAGAGGAGGGATGGAACAGAGAAGCTAAAAGTCTGAGCAGCCACGTTTCGCACGTTTTGCCGCAGATTCTACTGGAAACTTTCCTTTAGCGTTTTTTCAACAACCTCTCTAGGAACTGCCAGAGAGGTCCTGATAAACTGAGGGTCTGGGAATACAAAAAATCAAGTGGGACCGTTCATTCTCTCGTATAGATAGTTATATTCATGAATAGGATGACAAAATCCCTTACATATAGGTT